ACACACACACACACACACACACACACACACACACACACACACACACACACACACACACACAGCACTGTAACCCCTTTACTGTTCACTCTTCATCCGAGAAAACGATGTAAGGTACCACCTCTGTGTTTAGTTACAAGTTGAGCCGAACAAAGCACTTTCAGAGAGGGCGGCGGCGAGGTTTTCATTTTGACTCGAGCAACAAATACAAAACTATCTGCCTTGACATCAAACAACACCGAAGCAATAAAGGGGGTCTGGAAATTCAATTTAGCCACAATCGACCAACGTGCCAATGTGTGTTTTAAAGTTGTATGTTTTGAAGATGTGTATTAAAACAGTGTCAGGTTAACCTTGAGGTTGTCATTGAGGATACCAGACAGTCCCCCGGTGTGTGTGTTTGTGTGTGTCCATTGATTCAAGTGCTCTGTTTTTGAGGCTGTTCTGCCCCACTTACACGAACACCTGTTTTCATTGCTTTTGTCCCACAATGTGTTCGATGTCCATGCTTTCTCTGCTCTCTGTTCTCACAAAGAAATCATTCCCCCTATGTTTCTGCTGCTCTCTTTGTCTCTAGTTGATGGGGTTTATCTACGCCTGCTATGTGGTCAAGCTCATTTCGGAGGAAGAGGATAGCTGTAAGTACACACACACACACACACACACACACACACACACACACACACACACACACACACACACACACACACACACACATTTACCCACCCTGCATGTCTTTACTCAGACCACTGTAAAAGATACTGTTTCTATCTATTTCCTTTTCACTAAGTCTCGCCATTGTTTCTACACTTGTTAAGCGTTTCATTCTGCACATATGAAGTTTAAAGTGATAATGGAAGCAGCTTTAACATCCAAGTTCTTTGTCATTTTTTTAAAGTAGCTCCCTTTTTTCAGATTGAGGAAGAAAAAAAGCTAGCGCCCCATTTCCCAGCTAATTAAGCTTACAAAAGCACAAAGAGCTGGATGAAAAGCCTGTTTCCAGCTTGTTTGAAAAAGAACACTTAAATACGCCCTTCATGGCTTCACACATAACATTGTGCTATTAGGCTGTGTGGAATAGACGTGAAAAAAGACAGACGTGAAACAAGGAACAATATTGTTTTATTATTTCAGTGTAAAGCTACTCTGTCCTTGTATTGTGAGTGTGATAAGGAATAGTGCACAATCACACTGATATTCCTTCTATCATAACATTTCTGGGCTTTATACATGACATTTATGTTCATATTTTCAAACAGTATTTTCTTGCTTTTTAAAATTAAAGAGAACAGGCTTTAAGGAGCGTTGGCTGGTGGTTGTTGGAGTGCTGACAAACACTCTGCTTCATCTATTGCTTAAACTTTTGCTCTTGTGTGTTTCATTTTGGAAAGGTCAATACAAGACAAACCCCCCCGAAACTCTTTAAATGTCAAGTATCACTCTTACTACAGCCCTGTGTACTTGACAATGTGACAAAAATGCAAGGACCTGCCGTCAGGGTTTCCATCCAAATTGGTTTGAATCTCTCGGTCAAACGGGAGAAAATCCAGGTCAAATATGATCTGTTTATTAGGCTAATAAACAAATAATAAACAGGCTATATAAAGAATAATGCCTAGCCACTGCATTACTGGTCTCTGCGACTTCAGACCGTAACTCACCCGACCTTTTTGAAACACACACCCATCTTGTTTCCAAAGGTCCGTACCACCAATATGTTGAAGAAAAATATGTTTTCTATATAAGGATAAATGGAAATGTCCTGTTATAATGTAATCCAAAATGTGTAGAGAAGTTGAGTTGAGCTCATCAGACTTTATTGTACAATCCCTTATAGTAATCGGCAGCTTCTGGAGGGGGTGATAGCTTTTTGGAGTCATCATCATAGACATTATTACCCAAGAGATACTAATCCGACCGATTTTCCCGATCCAAAAAAATTGGATTTACCAATTAGATATATACAAGATAAGTTGTATTTGATGTGTGTCGTTCTCCTAAGGCTAATACATTAATAATAAACAGGCTATATAAAGGATAATGCCTAGCCACTGCATTAATGGTCTCTGCGACTTCAGACCGTAACTCACCGAGCCCTTTTGAAAGAGGAATCAAGTCAAAGTGAACGCAATCTGTACATGCACTCCCTTGGCACTGAAGCAGCAGGTTTGAATGAAGCCATCTCGGACTGAAGGGAGTTTACTGACACCTCAAGTTGGAATTCAAAGTGAAACCTGTAGCCTCCAGCTCATTCATTTACAGTGACACACAGAGAAAGAGACGAGAAGAGAGAGTGTGTAGGAGTGCTCGGCAGATTCATGCTCGATCAAAGTTGTCTTTCATTCGACTTCTCTCCTACATGCTCACCACTTTGAACCGCCATCACCAAGCAACAGGCACAGGGGGGAAAAAAGGGGGGGAAAGACCAACAAAAATGTTTAATTTATCTTTATTCAATGTTTTATCAATGCATCTAATCATCATTACAACCATCGGGATGAATGAAACGTCTACAGTCAAAGACTAGACGGTATCAATGAAGTGTAATACCAGTAACAAGCGGGGAAACGAGGCAAATCAACATGTTCATTCTGCGATTTTAGTATTTTGAAGGCAGCGTGTTCCTTTGAGCATTAATTTAAATGAGCCCATTTACCTGAGGCCATCAGTTTAGTTATTCCATTAAAGTAGACGCTTTGCAGGAGGATCAATACGCAGCCATGTCTTATTCAACACTGAATTGAGAGTGGTCTTTGCGAACACATCAATATTGAGAGGTGATAATTGCAGACTGAATTCAAAGAGCTGAGAGTAGACACATTTTTATTTATTATTTGCATTTGTTATAAAACTGCAGTTCAATGCCGGGTAAGACCTTTCTACTGTGAGCTCACAGATACATTTTAAATCATCACAATGTTAAGAAGTTAAAAGCCATGTAAGGTTGAATTGATCTCAAATGTATGGAGGATAATCAAGTTTCAGGGGTTATTCTGAGACGTTTTTTGTTAGCACTGCATTTTAATAAGCTTTGTGATGACAGGAAACCTGAAATGCCACTTGTTCCGTGTCTGAATAATTAATGTCTCGCACTTATTATTTGGCCTTTGCTTTACTGTTGTATTTTGGCCCTTGGCTCTCGATACTGCACATTTTAGCTTTATTCGCAGCCTGAGAGTCAGAGCTTGTTAGAAATAAACAACAATTTCAGACTAGAGGAGTGCGCTGTGTTTCTCTTAGTTCATTTGCTTAGTGACATGTAAAATGCGGATTATTAAATTCTCCCTGTAGCAACCGAAATATCTGGCAGAAGCTTTAAATGATAACCTTTAGTTTCCCGTTTTAAGCCCATATAAAGACCATCTTATCAATCAGCTTCTCAGAGTGAGTGATGACGACTGACACAAACACATTATTCACATGAGAGATTTTAACCTTGCTTTTCTCACTTGTTCGGAAAGTATGATGAAACTAAAACTATCTCTGAGAGGATACACCTCTGCCAAGGCCAAATACCTTGCAATATCGACTAAAGTGAAAATGATGTGTTTATTCAGGCTGTGATTTGGATCAGCTCCACATTTGAATATGGGCTCTTCCTTGGCCCATGCTTCACCCTTAAACCAAGTTTAGTGAAAATAGAGCTAGTCGTTTTTCTGTAATCCTGCTGACAGAGACAAACAAATCAAAAACATAACCTCCTTGGTGGAGAAAACAATGTGCAATATTTCCATGCAGTATAACATTTAAATGAAACTAAAGAAATGAAAGTTGTGTGATTTTTTGCCAATGTTGCCAGAACTTTCCAAAACAGAGTCCTGATGAAGCATATGTGAGTTTTAAGGGTTTAAACAAATACCTCAATTGTTCATTCAAAATGTAGCTAGCATAACTGTCAGACTAAGGCAGGGGTCGGCAACCCGCGGCTCTCGAGCCGCATGCGGCTCTTTAAGCCCTCTACTCTGGCTCCCTGAGCTTAGACAAAAATAAGAAGGAAATCAAATTTAAAATATTTGTAGGACTATTTATATTTTGTTGCACGGTTGAAAATGTTTCGTATCTTGTATTTTGAGTTGATACTGTGACACATAAATAAAAAACTAAACGGTTTTAATTACGTCAACTAAAATATGCGTCACATCCTGCTACGGAGTTCTTTGTTTATTATTAGAGGTAAACGGTTTTCTATAATGTAATAAATAATAAATGCAAAACAACTGTAGTTTGTGTCTATGATGTAACACTATATACAACTTTATAAGCTATCAAGCTATCAAATATGTTTTGCGGCTCCAGACAAAAAAAAATTGGTGGAAAAGAGGGAAAAATTGCTCTTTTGGTCAAAAAGGTTGCAAACCCCTGGACTAAGACAAGAATATTGTACTAATATCTCACTCTCAGGCTGCGAATAAAGCAAAAATGTGTAGAATCGAGAGCCAAGGGCCAACATACAACAGTAGCCAAAATACAACAGTAAAGCAAAGGGCGAATAATTAGTGTGAGACATTAATTATTCAGACACGGAACAAGTGGCATTTTAGCTTTCCTGTCATCACAAAGCTTATTAAAATGCAGTGCTACAAAAAAACATCTCAGAATAACCCCTGAAACTTGATTATACTCCATACATTTCAGATGAATTCAACCTTACATGACTTTTAACTTGTTAACATTGTGATGATTTAAAATGTATCTGTGACCTCACAGTAGTTTTAAAGAAACACATTAAGTTTTTAGGGCCGTAAAAATAGGTATTTCACCACTATGCATTAACAGCTAACCATCTATTGCTTGTGCGGTTAAAAGTGTTTTGGGAGCTAAAGCCAAGCACTGGGTAAGAGTCAGTGTACACCCTCGAGAGGTCGCCAGTCTATCACAGAGCTAACACATGCAGACAAACACATTCACACAACACGGGCGATCTTTTTTTTTTTACTTTGCACACAAACGGGCAAACATATTGTAAGCCACACCTGTCATTTTCCCACTTCTTCTCAAGGAACAAATGTGATCAGATGGATTGAAATTAAAGGTTTGAGGCTGCTATTGAGCCTTGATGAATATGTACTCAATGGCAGCGTCATGTCACATGCATCATTTTCAATGCGACAAGAAGATAATTCTCTCCAGTGTGATTTTTGCATTTGTTGTAATCCTGTGTTTGCTGTTCCGTAAGTCCCTAACACGGCTTCGGGAAAAGGCTCTGCGCGATAAAGCAGTGTGGGAGACCACACAATAATCAGGGAGCTTTGTAGGGAAATGTGCCTTGGGTGAAAACGCTAATACTCACCGAGGACCAATGAAGGTTTTGAGTTGCTGAGAAAGCTAATTACACTGATAATTATTCTGTGCATGTGTGAACAAGTCTGTGTGTGATAAAGTCTGTGTGTCTGTGTGTGTGGATTTTGTGGTTGTATCAGTGTGTGGGACATGATCATAGTGATGCTTATCCGTCTCAGTGCTGCATGAATGTGTCAGACAGATTCATGTCAAACATCTGCCTGGAATCTTTGTCTGATCATTCTTTAAAGGGGCCCATTCATGCAGCTTCATATATTTTCCGGTCCATCATTGTATTTTGTGCCTCTGACATGTCTCCATGCTTTAATGTTCAAAAAGCTCTTTATTTTTCTCATACTGCCTGTGCTGCAGCACCTCTTGTCACCCTCTGTCTGAAACCAGAGCCCAGTCTGCTCTGATTGGTTAGCTGGCTCGGCTCTGTTGTGATTGGTCAACCCCTTAGAGTTGTCCCGCCCCTTAGCGTATCACGTACAATGTGTTGCAGCGCTACACAATAGAAGCATGTGTGTTACATAGTGATGTCACTATGTTATGTAAACAAGGAGTCCAATGGAGGTGTTTCAGGCAGTGGGAGAGAAGGAACTTTGGGATATGAGCCTTTGCAGACCATTTATATGCACACAAACCTATATGACACACTACATAGCTCCCCTTTAAATTAGTGGAATCCTTTTTAAGTGAAAACTCACAACTGGGAAAAACCACAATAATTTTAAATAATCTCATCATCATTGTTTATTTATTCACTAGTCAAAAATTGCCATCAAAAGACATATTGGAGACATCTGACATGTGGTTTACCCTGATAAGATATACGAAGCTTGAAAATAGTAGCCTAGACACTAAACATCAAGCTTTTACATGATATATTATTAACACATCTAGAAATGGAGGAGTTCATGTATTATACAGAAAATGTACAAGCGACTCTAATCCTAACTACTAAATGGCCTTAAATATGTATTTCATCAGTCTTAACATTGGTTCAACATAGGTAAGATATATTCAACACAGAATGTGGTCATACAAAATCAGAACATCTGTTCTTTTATAGATCAGACTGCAGTTTCTGGGGCAATTATTCCTCTTCTCATTCGCCCGTTGGACAACCCCAGCACCTTATGAATAACATCAGAATGTTTAAATGAGCCTCTATTCAGCTTGATAGACAGCGCACTGACGAGGTTAGAGGCTCCATTTCCTCTTGCGTTGGAAGGGTCGAGCATGGCATAAAAGTCTGCTGAGATTATTCGACTGCAGCATGAATCGGCAGGAAACCCTTAGCGTTCACACCGGGCCATTCTGCCACAAAAAGGATCCTCACAAAAGAAAGGCAGAGGCAATGTCTCCTCTGCATTGTCTGACTGAACGAGCACAACGAGCACAATGATCATAAAAATATCACATTATTGCAGCAGTCGAGAAAACCGCTGATAGACAAAGAAGATCATCTGTTGTCCCGTCGTGTGGTGTAATCACAATTTCACATGAATGCATTAAGAGGATTAAGTGAGAAGTGTGAAAAGACGTTGTGGCTTATGGTGACATTCTTTTACCCAACTTCGACAGAATTAAAGAAGAAGATTATTATGTATGAACAGATAGATTGAAGATGATCAGTTTGTTGGTCCGATTCACTAAAGCTTGGTTTCTCTTTTTTTAAGTTGTTTTCTTTAGGTAAGAAATATACGAAAAATAAAATGTACCTTGTCTTCTATAGATCTTAAACTATTATATATACTTTTCTTTTTCTCTAGGTCATTTTTCATTGCTTACAGTTAGTTCAAAATGCAGCTAGCAGGCTGAACACTGGAACTAGCCGTCGGTCTCCACATATGGCCCGCTCTTGCATCCCTCCAGACGAAAATATCCTGTTGATTACATTTAACGCATTGTTTTTCATCCGCTCAAATCCTCAAATATCGGCCTGTAATGCCACCCCTGCTCCAAATCCAAAACAAATGTATCGCTGGTTAGCGTAGCTTAGCATAGAGGCCGCACATAGGGGTAAACAGTAATCATGACTCTGTTTAAAGATCAAATCTGCCTTTTTCCGACTTACTTACATAATATTTAGTTTGTCAAATCTGATTAAAAACAAAAGTATAAAAACATTCAGTAGAGATGGGAGCAAAACAATGTGTGTTATTGAAAGCGGGTGAATGAAGCTATATAAAGACAGACAGTACAAAAAAAGTGTTCCTTTTAACATTTAAAGCATGTACACATATTCTATTTGAAACCAAAAACATAAAGCATGAAATTGTCATTCAAGGCGAGTGACTGTATGTTCTGAAAGCCAATAAATGAAAACATTACCGCACCATTACATATTCATGTGTTTTATTCATGTTATTTTAAATAGAGGCATAAACAAGCTAATTAGAGTAAAAGGATGTCTATGTTTGGTTTCCACATCAGATTTGGTCTTATATCCCTGCTTCTTGCCGACTTAAGGTGTTCTTAAAGCTACTTTCATCTCTACAGTGACAGCCAAATACCACATTGTACTTGACGCTATAGGAAACCTCACTCAATAAATAAGAAATTGCGCTGATCAAGGCAAGGAAGTACCCTTTTATGAGCTCTACAACATCAAAGCCCAAATATATATAAATATATATCATGGCTTCCTCTCTTCAAAAGTCCTAGCGCTCTGCCTCAGTCTGAGGAAAGCAACCACCTGCTGGCAGCCGCTCAGCCCGAGAAACTGGCGAGCCATCCTAGATAATTTAAGAGTTAAGAGTATTCTCAAGGCATAAATATACCGCTCCATAAGTCCTCTTCAAAATAGAATTACATCTGAGTCACATTGTGGTACAGTTGAGGCAGCATTTTGTTTTGAATCATTTGAATGCCAAAATCTGCCATTATCTAGTCAGAGCAGCAGCGATTAAGGTGGTGTTTCTGGTACACAATGTACCGTAGAGACGTCTGTTGGTGTAGGAGACCCGATGCAATGAATCATCTGTGGTTGCTGGCTCCCACCAAGGATTTCTCTAATTGGTGCTTTTTCTTTGTTCTGTGCAGTTGATTTTATAGGAGGGTTCGACTCGTACGGCTACCAGGGCCCTCAGAAGACCTCCCACCTTCAGCTACAGCCCATGTACATGTGAGTATAGCTGAAGTCTGTGTAATCATCTGTAATCATCATCTTTTAATCACATTTTATCACATAGGCACAATATTAGTCCCAATTATTATAATACGTGCATGTTTTGTGTTTTCATTTCTCACATACCCATCCTTAAACCCTCTTAAATCCAAACCCGCTATCAACAGCAAACATCGTTAGGGGACGTTTCTCTGTGTTTAATATCTGGAGTTCTGCAGTGAGGCTGATATTAGCACATTCTGCCGCATCAGCGTAAGTGTTTATCATGTATCAGCCCAAGGTCTCTCCTAGAACTTGTTGTAGCGCTTTTATCGCTCCCTTCACAAGTGGCAAGTGTGGTGTGTGAGAAAAAACAATTCTCGCTAAAACTGTTCATCGTCAGCTGTTAAACCCAAATTAACTGAAAAGGGCATCCTCCTGATGTAATCCTTGTGCGATTTGTTGTTTTGGAAGCTTTTATTTTGTAGTTTATACAGTGATTTTCACAGACTCAAAACAACAGATGCCAGTTTGTCAAGATCTTCAGCTTTTCTTTGGCCCCGGAAGCCTATAGGATAACACAAAAGGAGTCTGAGTCCAGGCTTAGGCATCCCAACATCAATCTGAATGCACTAAGCAAGAAAGCAAAAATACACTGTTACAAACAACAAAAAGAAATACGACTGATCACCTGCAGGAGACAGCTGATCAATAACTGTTTTTATTAGAGGAAAGAGCCAGGGCAAATTAGAGCCAGAGGCAGACGGACAGAGAGAGAAACTGAGATCAAGATGGGCGAGAGACTAGTAGATAGGTAGAGAAAACACAGAGTGATGGATGAAAGGTAGGACTAAACAAAGAAGAAAGGCAATAAAGGGCCCCTCTGTAGTTTTATATGTCCCCTGTGGAAGTCATAACACAGATCATAAATCATCGACCCCCAAGATAATGGCTACAAACACAAACACACACTTTCGAACGATAGCTGAAGCGTGAATACACACATCTGTAAAATAATGTGCTGATAGACGTATTGTGCGCGTACCCTTTTGCGCAAACAGATATCGACACGCTCGTGTATGCACACACACACTTACACAAACATCATCAATATGCTATCATTGTTCCCCAGCTGTTGTCCCTTCACTTTGGTGTTTATTGGCCCCGGCCACAGGGACCAATCAAAAAAGGATCAGCTGTATGGTCCAAGTGGAAATCTCCAACACCCAACTACCCACACACACAAAATAACTTCACAAAAATTACCGCACTTCTTTGCAAAGACATGAAAAAAAAGATCAACTTATTGTTGAACTTCAAAAGCATGTTTTTCTCTGTGTGCATTCAAATGAGAGTTTAGCATAATCTAAAAACATCCTCACATCTAACATCACATCTTTCTTTTAAGACAATTGATGTTTTATTTATCCATCTGTTTTTACAGCCTCACGATTCAGTCCTTGGTTGCACTTGTAGCCTGTTGTCTCTTTGAGCTTAAAATTACATTAGGAATTATGAAACGTTGATGAAGAAACTAATGTAAGCCTTTCTTAAGTCAAGGGTCGATTAGTATCAGTGCTATAAGAGGGACATTTCCTCAAAGAAACGTAAATAGTCAACTTATTTTAGAGTCATAGCATAGCTAATGGACTACTTACTCACTAAACCGTTATAGGAGAATCCTACACTAATAAACTGCTCTAACTACCTCTCTTTAGCATTAAGCTAAGTTGCTTAGCTGTTGTAACAGGGGGACATTACGTCTTTTTTCAATATAACCTTTTATTAATATCGCTAACATTAGCCACCGTAAGCTAGTTTTAGAACTGAGTAACGGTGCGTTTTACAGCCAATTGATTCAACTTTTCATGTTTATTCTGCTAAAAGTAACATTGTTCCATTTATATTGTGTCAAGAATTTGTTGCTAACAAATTAAATAATTAGCTCTTTTCTTCTCACTTTTCCTGTTTTCGTCCTTAATAGTTGGAAGGAAAGTATCAAAGTCAGTATGTCCTCAAGCGGCCTCTTGAGTGTTATCTTTTGTAAAAATACACAGAACAAGTGCTTCAGCTGTCCTCATTGAACATTATGTTGTTCAGCCTATTTGCCAGAGTAATTCACTTTATCAAGGACAATCCTGAGCAAATGCACCGCTAAGCATTTAATCACAAACCTCTTAATCTTTACTGTACTCAATTATACCTCAAGCAGTTTGGTTTTAAGTGGTTCACATTAACATTTACCGCTAAATCTATACTAAAGCAATAAATGGGATTCAGTCACTATTTCGTATAACCTTCTTCTCTCCTCTTTTTTCAGGTCAAAGTAAACCTAGGAGCGCTGCCTTACCAACCACCGCTGCTCAACTTTTACCACAGGATACAGAGGACACTAAGATATTCTGCTTCACCTCCAACCCCCCCTTCCAGTACTTGGTCACATTGCTTCCCTGGTCTGTCTTTCTGCTGTTTTTTTAATGGAGTTAGTTATGTTTCGTGATGAAACACTGGCCTCGTGTGGTTGAACACTGTAACTGTGTGAAACACCAGTACAAGCAGCTCCGGTGCATTTTCTTCTTGAAGGAAACAATCAGGAACCTTGCTTCCCTTTGTGATTTGGGGTATTTGCATTGTGAAAGAAACCAAAAGGATGTAAAGATCAGGATTCCAAGATGTTAACACTTTTTCTTCAAGCTGCTGCAGACAATGCAGATATGCCTGACCAAAGAGTAAAAAAAAAAAACACATCCTCACGTAAACAGAAGAGCCTGTTAAAGCATCTCTGAAAGGTTTTGCTCTTTGTGCCTGACACATCAGACACTGGACTTCCAACCATACTGACCCTGCATCTACTAACAAGACGACCGATATAGGAATGTCAGAAATATTTTCTACAGTTTCTGATTGGTGCAAGTTTTGAGCTTGTTACAACTCCAGACTCAAGCTCGAGCACACACCACACGTTTTCATCTGTCGTTCCATCAGAAACGTTGAATGTCAGTGAACAGTTAGATTGACATACTTTCATTTAATATGTGCATGTGTATAAAAAACACACAGGCATTAACTGATGCATATGTGAATTCACACGCACGCACACACACACACACACACACACACACACACACACACACACACACACACACACACACACACACACACACACACACACACACACACACAAACACAAACTAAACAGATGTGTTAACGTTTTTACTGCTAATATGAATCTTAACAATGTTTACAATAGAACAGTAGTCTGCCGGACAGAGAGACTGACATACAGGAGACTTTTAAGGTCTAGCAATCTCAAAGGCCACGGGGTGTTTTCTGCCACATTAAACAGACAGAACAGATGTTCCACATGTGTCCTCCGGTCTCTTGCTGTCTAAATACTTTGTCTTCCATCCAAGACAGACCGGTAGAGGTATATAAAGATAGAACATTACAAAGAAAACAACCGCAGGAGAAGGATTGAGGTCAGGCAACAGTTTCCTTTCCACTTCAGTCCTTTTGTAGCTTCCCTTGTCACTCGCCCATCGTTAAAGCAGGCAAGTTTTTCCCTGCTGTATTTCTGAATAATATTTTTTTTAAAGCTGGCGGTCAGATCAAGTGTCCAATCTGCCAAATCTGAAGCATCCAGCTCATACGAATAACAGAAATAGTTCACACTCTTCCACAGGCATACATCATGAGAAAAACAAACACAACAGAAATGACAATCACAGTTAAAGTGACCTGAATTTGATCAATGATTGGCATTTTTTTGTACCATAACAAATGTGACATGAAGCTGAAAAATGGCCATCATGGCATTTAAGTTAGTAAGTTAATGTTTTGATTTATTTGTTGCATATTCAAACCACTAGAGGATGAGATTGGTGAAAAAAAGGAGAAACTAAATGACTGAGGCTGAATCTGCGCTGACACAGCAAACGTTCGCCCTCGCATGCAGACTAACAAGGACAAAGACGGTACCAGAGAGATTCCAGAGTCACAGCAGCTCCCTCTCTTCACCTCACCAGTCAAATGTTAATGTTGAAAGTGCCAACCATATCACCACATGGACATCCGTGGAGCCTAGTTTCTGAAATCCACAGACTGGGAACAAAAATAATGGGTCTCCGGTTCAGTTTCTTGGATTTCCATGTAAGAAAAATAGATAGAATACAGCAAGGATATACAAAAGCAAAAGAAAACACATTTGCATTCATTGCTGCCAGCAGGTTTTTTATTTTATTCTGCTCAGAAAATTCAACTGATTCCTTCTGGAAACGTAACTTATCATGTTGCATTTGTGTTGCAATCACTTGATAAAAAGTTTGAGGCCTTCTCCGTCAACCAAGGAACATTTCTGTGTGGTAACACAGGCATGACGATGGACTATTCCCCTCTACAAGCTACAAAGTCCGCCCCCCTCTGCCAGATATCTTCAGCCGTTCTTGTTTTGTAACAAAACTCTGTTGGGTACGTTCAGAGTCGCTGCCCCATGAGGCTCCACCGAGAGTCACTCCGGAGGACAGAAACAACGTTTTGTGTGTTTGCATGAGGTGTTTCCAAACTGTTGCGTATTTAATCTCATGCTGCGTGTGACTAACTAGCTACTTAAGATGGGAACTGTTTGGTTTGTTGAATGCTCCTCAACTCTCTTCAGAGTCCTAAATGTGAACTTTGTGATTTTTCTATAAATAACAGTCTGAAATGTCTGCTGAGTAAAGGAGATAAAATAGCTACTACAACGTAAAACGACGAAATGTAACTTTGAACTTCTAGACGTTTTTTAATCACATGTGGCCGTGTTTACTGTTTTTTCTAGTTGACTACTAATGTATGATGTTGTGTACAAGTGGGACTACTGTGTTTTATTTCTTCTAATTGTACAGTGTATTTTGAAATGAGAGAGTAAGAGGAGAATGGGAGGAAAGGGAATTAGTTGCACTATAGTCTGTAATTCTTTTATTCACCTTTCTGTCAGGGCAGGAAATTCACTTTCACTTCACCGGATAATTAGCGTTACAATTTTAATTTAGATTTGAATTGTCAACCAACACCAATGATTTATATTTCATAAATGAGAACTGCAGATGAAGCGTCTTGTTGAAAAATTCAAATCAGGAACTAAAGCTGTGAATATTATTAGAAGCATAATTGAAAAAGATAGTCGTTGGTGTAATTAGCAAATTTGAACTGAATGTGAATTTATTTGTTAATTTGTGTTTAATGGAGACAATTAATTAAATTTCACCTGGTATTGTGGAACCAATATTAACGCCAATCTGGCAGGAAATAGAGAAGATTTCGGATATATAATGTAACCCAAATGTATGTGTATGTATGTGTGTGTGCTTGGGTGTGCGTTTGAGACCTTGTACTGCAGTTCATTGTACTTTTCTGTCATGGTGAACTGAACAACGCTTAACCCAGAACCTGCAGAGCTGCGACTTCATCACAAACAAAAAAGGAAATAGAACTCATCAAGTGTCGTAAAAACAGCAATAACAACCGTAATAATATATTTTAAAGTAATAATGAAGACAGAATCTCCACAGTTTGTTATTTATCTTCACAGTTGCTCGATTACATTTAGACTTTGGAACAGTCAATAGGGCTTTTCTCTGCAGATCTAAGATTGCACATCTGTATATAAAGTGTTAAACATTTGCAGAAGAAGCTCGAAGCAAGCCGTTATTTTGTTAAATGTTGTTGTTGCAAAGTTCTAAATCTGTACTAATAGTTCAAAATCCCTCCTTAAGTATACTGTAACTACTCTATTTTAAGCCTACACATTCTGGCAAGAATTCATTTTTATTACTGAAATAAATAATATTCGTATGAATATTAACAAATGAGAAACACTATAAATGATTTAATAAATATTTGCGTATTTAAAAAATGTGCCCATCAAACTTTCAAACGATAAATATTTTAATAAAATCTTAAATATTTATGACTTAATTCGCAACAATCAAAAGTTAAGGTTGATAACACATAGGTTTTTATGTATTAAGAGAAAACCATTTAAAATCTTAGATAATGTTTTTCCAGATTTAATTGTCAGTGTCCCACTATCATCATTTTTGGATTCAAATGTAGCTTAATTCACAATATAATTAAGAAAATGGGTGTTCTGTGTCTTAAAATATTACATTTGGTGCTTGCATACTTTGTTTAATAAGAAAATGCAGCTGTTAAAGGGACACAATTGGAATATCATGTAAAAGAAAACTGTATAGTACCCATTACAGAACCTTGAGGTACTTCCCAACTTAATGTAGCTTCTAAATAAAGTTATTAGGCAACTTCTCATCTTAAAGAGTAAACATTTGTCATACAAATTGTTTAATACTCTGAAAATGTATTGCCCTATATTTTATTTTTTAACGCACCAGAAACAAGCATGTTATAGGAGTATTTAGAAAGTGCAATAACACATATTCATAATACCTTCGACAACTATTCACAATGTCAGTGTGTCATCAATGCAGGAACATGCCAGTAAAGTGGCATTATCCAAACTGTGCTCTGGGTTGACTTGGTAATGTTCACCATTGACTAGAACATCTATGTGGGTGTCTTCTCTTTTTATGATGGTTTTTCCCACAGGTGACTGACTGTACATAAACTAGACAGTTGGGAATAAAGTAGACAGTGGAGAAGGAAAGTTTACATTGTGTCCTCATTTATTTTGTGTCCTCAAATCCTTTACATCGGTGGTTGAGTTTCTGCTTAGCTAAATGTTTTTTAGAGTTTCAGTTAAAAGAAAGACAATTAAATCAACTTACAAAGTGACTGAAAAGAAGCGAAAGCTGTGGAAACAGGATCTAAAAAAACAGCTGAGGGTGACATCACATATCCTAGTGATATCAGTATGTCCTTAACTAAACAGACACACACACACACACACACACACACACACACACACACACACACACAAATCCTTGCCAAGTCATTGCCGGGAAGCGCTATTGTTCCTTGGCAGAGGAAACGGTAAACATTAAAGGGAATTGAGTGGGTGGTATTCTTACATGCTCATTTCGTGCTCAAAGGTAAATTCTGTATTAAAAATCCTACAAAAAAATGGTTTTACAGTAAAAAAATAAATATCTACCTAACCCTAGAAAAAAAAGCCCGGTGTGAAAGAAAACCCTTTTTTTATAGATGCAATAGGCTAAGTTTAAGATGGAGTAAATGCTCAAAATTAGAAATACTTTAAATATGTATTTGTGTCCTGCAGAGCATCCCCATTTTGTAACCTGTTAAAAGTGGAACAGTAAAATCCAGAAAAATGTCTGAACGGTTTTTCAGGCTTTATGTAATAAGTGGATGACTTGCACTTGTATAGGCTTTTTTAAATAATTTGGATTTTCCACTAAAAGCAACTGGGCACAGCCAGGACAAGTAAAAGCATTACCATGCCTCTTGTGCCCTATGGCATTGATGAGGATTTGTAACGGAGCTAACATCCCATTTTACAGGCGCCCCACTTAGGTTTATTCGAAAGTTTCGCCAACAGCGTTGAACGAAAAAATGTCTCGGTCCAAATGACTTTCATTTTTAGGTGTTCAAGTGTCACCCTGTCGGAATTAAACAAATTCAAGTTTTGGGGATTTAATAATGATGAAAAGTGTGTGTGTGTGTGATGCAATGAAAATTAAGAAAAGAGCAACCTTTTGAACACTATATGTAGTCTGCTAGATAACTATAATATATATAATATACTATGTTACCTTGGTTGGTTATTGGCTAATGGTTACACAAGCCAACAAATCGTTATGACATAAAGTGGCCAACATCTGATCATCTCATTTTCAGACAGGTTTTTATATAAATGGATCAGGACAAAAAGTGAGCAAATATTTTTTCCTGAAACTTTCAGAATCTCTTTACACAGAGGGGACACATGTGTATGTATAACAGGTAGCAAAAAGTGGATTTTGAATAATAGGTGACCTTTAAGATGACGGATATTACCAACGATATTCGGCGGATTCAGGGCTGTCACAATATCAGACTTCAGAACACAATTATCGCCTTATTAGGGAAACTACATTATTTTACACTTGCTCGTGTTATATGAAGCATCAATAAATATGGAAAAATAGAAATCATAAAAAATAAGTATATTTCACAAATGTATGCCTATAGGCTACTACCACATTTAGGTAGATGAGTGAATAGTTCTAATGTTGATGCTGAATTAAATTAGAATTTAAGATTATTTTTAGTTTAATGCACAAATTGTATAAATACAAATATTGGTTGATAAGATGATAGTCAAAGTCATACAAGATTGTGAACAAAACAAAGAAAGTTCAGGTCTTGACATTTGATGTTTGATCCACTTCATATTTTTTGTCGATATTGATAAAGACGTCTTTGGTTAAACTCTCCCCGGTATAGCTGGAGCCTGTGGGGGGCTCTATTGCTAGGCACTGATGTAATGTTTCACTTTGGCCCAGGTTGTTCTTTTCATTTCTCTGATATTTGTCAATCTGCCCATGTGCACCCCACAGCTAGGCTTCCCATCGGCCTATCGCTGTTCTCCTGCACGCTGACGCCAAGACCCGGAAGCAGCGAGCAGCCTGCTTTGTTTTGTTTTGGTAGTAGGAGTTGGGTAAGAGGTGGACAGGCCAGGAGAGATGCGCTGATAAATGGGGAGAGCCATATCGGGGATGGAAGATGAAGGTCCGATAACCGACGCCTGTACAATGCCGAGTTTTATCAGCAGTTTGGAGGAGGAGAGTGTGAAGTTGTCCCGCCGCCGCTACTTGCCGACTGAAACTTCCTTTACGGACAGCAAAGTTGAATGGTCGGTCAGAGATTTGAGCCGCCGTGTCACCAGGTCCACCTCGCGATTATCTCTGGACGGAGGTGAGCGGGACCCCGGGGAGAGGAGCAGCGGTGGGGAGAGGGATGCGAGGGGCAACAACAACAACAACTGCAACGGTGGCGGAGGAGAGAGGAGGAGAGCGAGCGCTGTCGAGATTTTGAGGAGGAATTTTGGGGTGTCAAAGTCTTCCTCTCTGTGTCTGAACACAAGCAGTCGGATGCCGCGCGGCGCAGAGCATGAACACACCGAGGGGACCGTTAATAACGACGTTTCAAACGGTTATGGAACGGAACGAGGCGAATGTAAAAAGTCGGAGCGTGAAACGGGCGAAGTGGGGACTAAAAACGAGCCCACCCTGCGCGAGGTTACCACTTCTGCTGTTCACGGAGTTGAATTTGTGAGCGTTACAGGTGAGCGTCATTATGCATATGACAGTGACAGCAACACGGTCACTTTAGACGAGCCTTTTTACCCTAAAGAACACATCTACTGCACTGTGTACTGTATCGCTAACGACAGTCAACGAAAAGACGCTGAAATCACAGGCGATGTCACCTCTGACGCAACAGAAATGGACTTTGAGGCAGAACAGGACGCGGGTTCGACTCCTGAACCGGCCTTGTACACATTGGAGGACCTGGTGGACCCTTTCGGGGACATGTCTCACCGGCTGTCCATGGAGCAGGACGGTGCAGAGACTGCAATGCAGAGTTGCCGGGTGTGCCTGGAAGATGAAACCATCGCACCCCTGCCCTGCTGCAGGAAGGCCGTGTGCGATGCGTGTCTGAAACTCTACGTCAGCTCCCAGGTTGGTATGAGGGAGGGAGTGTGAGGAAAAAGGGGGTTGTTTAGTGCTGCAGGGTGTCACAGCGCTGAGGTTGAGCCTGTCCCAGAAACCAGGCAGTGCTGGGTCAGCCAGCAGCTGGTGAAGCATCCACAACTAACACACACAATCTTCCCTGTCACACTCTTTATGTGTGATATTTGGCCTGGAGCTGGCCTTGAACAGTCTCACCCTACATGTTTTGATTAGATGGGCTCTCTAATAAATGAAGGACAACATGTAATGTGATAGTTTCTAAAATGTCACAGTGCAGCATCTGCACGTATCCTCAATTTGTGATGACAACTGTTATTTTTTGAATATGGGTCACCAACAATGACACATTCTGCACTAAAATAGGATTATTTCCATGTCTCAGGCTAGGCTCACCTATTGAAGGAAGATCTCACCATCAGATACCTTTCTTGTGTTCTGTTGTGTATTATTAGTCCAGTGATAATCCAACAACACACACACATGTTCTTCATCTTGGCTCCTCCTCTTCATTCACTACCTTCACTTCCCAAAATGCAGTTTGCTTGATGCTATAACATTTGCCTGAGCATTGCGCAGCAGTGGGTTTTAGGTAGGGGAGCAGCAGCACCATGGCAAAGTAATTCTTTAATACAGCCAATAAAGGTCACAATGGGGACACAACAATGCATTCTGCAGCCACAAAATATGTTTAGTAGGAGCTCCTGTGCATTGATTCTGCTCGCTACATGCACTCATACATCAAGGAATTCAATAATAGATGGATGAAAGATGAACTTCCTTTAATGTACTGAAGCTGCCATGGCAGTAGAGACTCAGCAATGTAAGGCATATTGCCAATCGCTGCTCCTTAACAGAGCTTACGTGTTTCAGGACAGATTTGTATTTCAGTGCCTTGATCGTGAGCTGGTACTCATTTTGCGAGTTGTGCAGAAGTTACAATCTTAGGTCCTTTGCTACTGTTCCTATAATCTTCTTTAATCTGTTGGGATAAAAAACAAATTATCAGTCATCGCGACAGCAATTATCTTGCTTTGAAAGCAAGGCATGAACATTACTCACACAAACAAAGAGACAAGCAGGATCTCCGATAAGCACCCTGAGAATGAGATAAGGACTCTGTAAACTCTCCTGTGTAGGCAGAATTTATTTTTCCATCGATGCACTGCAACGTTTGTCAGCACTCATGCTTGCTGTTTACTCTCAATAGCTACAGTGAGCATTATGTCGAGAGAAATGCGGTCAAATGTCGATAGGACCCTGAGAGTAGGTCAGTGCCTTGCTCCTGGGCACTTACCTGCCTCCTCAAATGAAAGCAACAGTGTTGTGCTTATTTTAAAAGCTATATATACAAATATATAGTTCCTTACAATCTACAGTTTAATATGCCTTAACATATAAGGTGTTTGGATTGAATCTCTACATTGCCTTATCAGATGAGCTCCTTTTCCTCTTTACTGGCATGTTCCAAGTGAAATCTAAAACGGAATGTTTTTATAATATTATTCATCTCCTTTAATACATTCAACATGGGACATGTCTTAAAGGAGACCTATCATGCTATATTTGAATAATATATTGTAGGGCCGTACGTTTTATTTTTCAAAATACCAAACAGATCATGCATTTTAGCCATGCCTCATTTCGCTCTATTTTGCTCTCCTCCACCCTGTCTTTGTATGCGCTGCAGCTGACCACGCCCCCCTGCAAAGGAGACGGCCGAGTTACGAGCTTCATGTTACCATGCTGTTACTATGCCACGGCAACCTCTCATTCCCCTGATTGGTGGAGAGTTGGCCATATAGGCGGAGCTCCTCGTCACTGACGTCAGACTATTTTCAAATCTGTAAGTCTTTTTTAAAAAAAGTCTTTTTATTTCATTATAGTGTACAATAATCGATGCCATTTCATATATATGTTTTTTTTATAAAAACAAAACAAAATGCTTCTCAATATAACTTAAACAACAGAGCATTGAAAATGAAAATAAACATAAAACGAAAAAAAATTAAAATAATATATAATATCTTTTTTTTATTTAACCTTTATTTAACCAGATAAAAATCATTGACATAAAATCTCAATGCGGGGTCTGTATCAGATCCCGTTTTTAGAGATTTTGGGTATGGAGGAAAAGAGAGAGGGTTGTGTTTTCTGACACTTGGTGAGTTCCCTGACAGTTGTGTCAGGGAACTCACCAAGTGTCAGAAAACACAACCCTCTCTCTTTTCCTCCATACCCAAAATCTCTAAAAACGGGATCTGATACAGACCCCGCATTGAGNCCAACTGCACCAATCAGGAGGAGACAGCCACGGACATTGCCGTTCGAAAGCGCTGGAGACGCTGTAGTACATATGCCAGGCCTGTAGATGGTGCTGTTCTCACAGAATCAGCCCATTCAAAGACCGTGTTAAATTGAGCGAAATGAGGAATGGCTAAAATGCATGATCTGTTTGGTATTTTGAAAAATAAAAAGTATAAATATGCCTTATATAGGTATGGTCCTACACTATATTATTCAAAATTAGCATGATAGGTCCACTTTAAATGTGATTTTCTCGTATTTATCGCTCATTTTTTAAGTTGTGCATGCCAGTAGCGGGTCCTTCTTCGGTTGTCTTTGGTTGTTTTACTTAATAAATCAATGAATTGCATGTTGATCATCTAGCAACAAACTGTATATCCATAACCCTTTAATGGGTTAAAATTATGTTTTTTACAATCGGGAAAAAAGTCCTATCCTCTAGATTAGTCATGGAAAAAATGAGAACTGTACGCCTTTCTAATTTTGTATCAAGACAAAAATAGTTGTGGCATGACTTGTTTGAGTTATGAAGACAGTATCTGTAATACAGAAACCATTTAGCTGCTATCTTTTTTCTTTTCTCTCTGGAGCTTTCCCACTGATTTATGTGCATGTGTGTGTTCATGTGTGTAATTGTGTTACCTATCACCAGTGCGAAAGCTCCGAGCACCACGACCAGCAGAGTGACCACAGGAGCTATCAGCACCTTAGTGCCTGCAGAGAACAACAGAGAGAGAAAACCATTAATCCATAATGAATTCCTATGATAATAATGAGTTCCTTTCAAATAGAATACAACTTCAAAATGCATGTTGTTTAGTTTAGGGGAAATTCTGTTCAAACTAAGATGTCCCTTATTATATGCAGAATCTGTGCCGCTAACAGTCCACGTCATGAAGGCAGCGATGAGAGCAGTAATTGCTAAGTGCTTCTTGTTAAATGACAAATTAGCTCCCAGTTCAACAAGCTGATATAACTAGCTGTAGCAGTCATAGAGAGTAGATCCAAACACATCTCTCAGCTTCCTGAAGGCTTGCCAATGCAGAAATGTGATAACTATGTACGGATAATTAGAACCAACATAACGCTTTTAACACTTACAAAGCTTTCCTCAGTGGCCGCTACAAGTGTGAAGTTTACTGGAAGTGCTGCTATCAATTCATTCAAGTCACAGATAAGTTGGGCTGGCAGCAACAACACATTTTGACTATATCCAGTGCATGATAGGTTAAATGACACTGCTACGTTTTGTATCTTACCCTCAATTATAATCCACTGCTGAGTGAAACATGGCAGAATATGTTTTGGCAACGATACAAGTTTTTTTAAAGGAATGTTGGTACACCAGGAAGTCAAGTCAGTTCATTGCCAAATTACTCATTCAATCTATTAAATTACATATTGGAAAAAATCTGAACAAAAGGCAGAGTAGCTGTCAAACTGAAAGTGTGCTAAGAATAAACAAGTCTATCGACATGCCAGTATATCTTTATGGCTGTACGAAAGGTGTTTAAGCTAAATGCTAATATTTGTAGCTATCTTGCTTAAGTGTAAATGTGCTAATAAGCAATACATGTACAAGTACAGCTGATTGGAATGGCAATAGTCTAAGAAGAATTTGGTCAAAAATGGGAGTACTGGACAAAAAGTTGACTTAAACTGGCAAAAGGTGAATAATTAAAAGTAGGAGGGTTTATCCTCTGGGCACCATGAATGCAAGACGTCACAGACACCCTTCAAGTTTTTGAGATTCAAGCTTGGACCAACATCATTATCCTTAGAGGCACACCGTTAAACAGCACCAAAACAATCTTCAACTAACAGAGGTCAATGAGTTTCAGTATAAAGAAGATTCACACACTTACCACAGACCGACCCTCTAATTAGCCGCCTCAGATGAGGTCTGTCAGGTAGATAGCGATACTTGCATCCAAACACGCTGAGGTTAGATGTATGGTCCCCAAAAAACCTGAAGACAGGAAGATTCATTAACATTATTGGAAATAAAGAGGTGGAAAAGGCACTCAAAGTAAAGGATTCTGATACCTTAGGTGCCGGTAGCGCTCCCCACAGCGGTAGCAGAAGTTAGTGTTACACTGGGTACACGTCATGTGATCACACCCCTCTGTGCGCTGAATGTGGATCTATAGAAGTAGATGAAGCAAGAAAATAAGGGTGTTGATTAAACATTATATTAAAAATAGTTATTTTACTCTTTCGAGCTGGGACACAATTTGAATATGTCATTACGCTTTTCTTCCAGACTCAAGATAAGCTCAGTTCATTTTAAAATGGATTCACTTTTCCAACACTCAAACTATAAGCATCTGCTTCAGCATGTATTGAACTGCACTGCAATATGTATGCAGCAGTAATGGATCTGTGCTATTTGGCTGCCTTTACTATAAATTGGGCGTTTACTCAGCTTCTTTTCCAGCAAAGCACAGCATGAGAGCAAATTGCCGGCGTCCCCGTCAAACAGGACCCTCCTTCGCCGCTCCCAGTGCGGACATTTCAGAGGCATCAGTGTGATGAACACACATGGAAAGTGTTGCTGCTGTGAGCATAGAACAGTTCCCACAAACCGGTAATTAGCTAAGTCTACATCTGCTGTAGTCATCTTCTGACAGTCAAATTAGATATTGGGTAGACTTGTTTTATAACTGTGAAAAAGATGCCAGTGAGTCTTCCAGATTGTGCAGCAGTGGCATCATTATCTTCCCAATATGTTTACTGCCTGCTGCTGTTCCACATGCACTTTAAATCTGAGCACCCATCTACTTCTCTATAGCTCCCCCATCTATCATCCATTATGTGCTCTTGTGCTTCTCTTCATTGATTTTTTTCTTCTGCATTGTTTCCATCCTCCATAAGTCAACCTTCAGCCATCTCACGTGGTGGCCAGGTTCAGCATTGTGCGTTGTTCCACGGTATCAGAATAACTTGTGTCCTTACCTTGCAATGCGGACATTTCTGGGCGTTTCTCTGTCCGTGCTCTATGACACTCGCCCAGTTTCGAAGCAGCTTGTCTCCTTTCCTGTACTCACGACATTTGACCCCGTTGTGCCATGGCGCGTGGCACTTAAAGCACCACACGAACTGGCAATTGCTACACAGGATCTATAGAAGGAACAGAATAAGGTGCATCAAGGCTTGTGTTACTTTAAAAAAATAAAAAAAAGACTAAAGTGAAACTTGATTTATTCTATTGCAGGGTCTGATTATTATATTGTTGACACTTTAAAATACTACTATCCTACTAAAATGCTGTACAAATCAGATTTATTATTTAATAAAGAAAAAAAAATTCAAGTAAAAAAAAAAGATTCACATTTTTTTTCAATAACGCGATAAAGATCATACTGTGAGTTTTTGGTATCGTTACATCCCTACTGTTTACACAATTGAATGAACTTGATCACGTGTGATATGTAAGGGGATAATGTGCAGAGGCTGGAACTGTGGCAACAACAACGTAACTAATCGAGGATTTTTGGAACTATCCAAGTCTGTTCAGAGTCTCCTCTCCCCCAACAAGTCCTTAAACAATACCAGAGAAGCCCATACAGTGTTCCTGTTATGCTCCGTTCAGACCGGACGCGATGCGATGTTTGGGGGCGGCGCGATTACATGTAAAGTAAAGGCAGAGATACGATCAGACGCGAATTCGCTCAGACGGCGCGCATGAAGCGCTGGAAGCGACGCGAATCACGCGATTGAGGCGATTGAAGGGGGCCGCGTCAAACGCGAAAGTTCATTTTTTTCAACTCGGGCGTCAAATTCACATGACGCGTTCTCGCGGAAGCCAATCAGCGTTGGGATCCCCTCTGACGTCCTGCTGTTGATCCTTACTTACCGGAGACATATTGGCAGGCGCTCCGCAGCTGAGAGGGAACGCCTGTAGTTTGTGTCCGTCCGGGAAATCCTGACACCAACCCGAGCTAGAAGATCATCAAACTGGACACAGGTCATCCTAAAATACCGCTGGAAACGGCAGTCATCCAGGCGCAGTTCCTTGATTAAACAATGATATTCACCAAACTGTGTGCGACGCTTGATCGCATTGGGAACCCAGACAGAGCGGCGTTTGTTGCTACGTTTGTAGGACTTCTACAGAAGGTACAAAGCAGCAATAGTTGTTATATCCTCCATAGTCAACGACAGAAATAACCAAAACGATCTTGCATGGAAGTGTAAACAACCTCAACTGTCCGTCAACGGTGCGGCGCGTCAACGGTATGTCTGTTTTGAATGACGCGATAAAACAAACTGCAAGCCCCGGTGAAACTTGAGCGATTAGAGCGAAGCGAATATTCGCATCGCGTCCGGTGTGTTATTACTTCCTGTCTGCCTTCTTGTGGTGATTTCACTGACATCCACTGATCTAACCTCTTCTCTTCTTTAACTTGATCCTCCTTAGCAACGGTGAAGTTATGCTTAGCGGCGGTGAGTTATCAAGTACTAATAACCTCTGCAAAGTCAGAATTTACCAATCAGAGTCAAGTATTCAACTAAGTCGTGTAATAATGGCGTTTAAAATGTGTTCAATGCTCATAGAAAACGCAGCTCCATATCAAAAACTCTTAAGATGTTTTGGACTATATTCGATTTTGGAGAGCCGTCATGCTGCATGCTGACTAATCCTGATTAATGATCATGATCTCAATAAATCAAGTAATCCTAAATATCGTTTTGGCCATTATCTTTCAGCCCTAATCAGCCGTTTTCTCATGTTTATTCCTTGTGTTGTGTTGGAGTTTCGGAACTGTCATCTCACCTTGTACTTGTGCTCGGAGTGGCTGTGGTTCTGGTTCTTTAGCGAGGTGAACTCACTGCACTGGGGGCAGGGTTTGGTGCTCGAGTCCAGCTGACTCAGCTCCAGGAAGTAACGGTATTTTGCCACGTCTTCATTGGCTAAATGGGAAATCACCACTTCCTCGTCCAGGTAGCCGCTGCACTCAGGGATCGGACAGCTGATGTAAGATTTGGCAACTCGCACCTGGGAAACATCACAAAGTAAAAACAAATTCATATTGATCCAGGCATGTTTACTATAATACCAACAAGGAAAACAACAAGTGTGTGTGACAGTAACACTACAATGTTAAGCATATCTTTCAACATCACCTGCTCAACTATTTGAATCTGTCTTTGTTTTTTGTGGTGGTTTATCACTTTCAAATCCGGAATATTTCCATACTACTGATATGGGAATGGTTAATAATTGACCCAAGCAAAGAGGGAGTAAGAGGTAGATGAGTGAAGGGCTGAACGAGGCAGTGGTGAGAGTGGAAGGTAATATGTATCAAACACACACACATTGAGCTAACATCACACAGCCACAGTGAACATAACATATTTAAATTTGGAAATAATTACTAATACAAAATGATTCAAATGTGTGAAAATATATTCATAAAACAAACAGTTTAACACAAAAAATTATTTTATGAAACAGCCTCCTAGAACGTTTCTGACATAAAGTTCACACCTGGATTAAATTAAAACCAAAACAGGACCCGTGTTTGTGTGTTGCAGATTTAATCCTATCTGGCTTTAAATACAGTCAATATCCAACTTCCTTTTCACCATCTAGTTCTCTTTTTTATTTGTATTTCCTCCCAGGCCATCGCTGCTTCTCTGGGTCTCTTTAACTCTCTTCCTAAGTATTTTTCACATTGAATCCATTACAGCCCGTGAGACCAGTTGTACTGACACATGATAAGGCATTTTCTCTTTGTGTGTGTCTGTGGAGGCTTGTGTGAAAATGTCAGCACAGAGAAAGCAAAGAACAATAGCATATCGTTACACCCAACAACCCCTACAGCACGTACACACAGACTCAAAGCTTGTCATATAGTTATGAAAATGCATCCTCAGAGAGAGAGAGCTGATGTGGTGTTGTCACAAAAGTGACGCTGTGATGATGACCACTGCCAGACTGGTTGGACAGGTTAGGACTGCTGCATGTGTCACAGAGCGTGGTGTTAAAATGTGGGGCGAAACATGAGCCAACATAAAGCCGTAATGTGATAAAAGCAGTAAAACAATTAAGCTTACAATGTTTGTCACAGGACAGTATGACTATAGGCTTGGTTAAAGCTACAAATAGTACTATGTAGTGTCAATGTGCTGTGACAGTATAGCGTCTGTATGCCTGTATGGTTTGTGCACATGATGGTGCTGTTTGAACTATTACAGCAATGATCAAATTGTAGTATTTGCATTCTGAGGTGTACTTAAATCAGTTAAAGATTAGGGCAACAACATGTTGCATTTAAGATGAACATGTATAATTATGAATCTTCTTTTTAGTGTCCTGTATAGATTATTCGATATGCATCATAAAAGATGAACCTTTAAATCAAAACCAGAGAGTGATTTCTTTAAAGGGGACCTATCATGCAAAATGCACCTTTATACATCTTTTATACATGAATATGTGTCCCCGGTGTGTCAGGGAATTCACCAAGTGTCAGAAAACACAACCCTCTCTATTTTCCTCCATACCCAAATCTCTTAAAAACGGATCTGATACAGACTGATCCAGATTTGAAAATAGTCTGACGTCAGTGACGAGGAGCTCCGCCTATATGGCCAACTCTCCACCAATCAGGGGAATGAGAGGTTGCCGTGGCATATGTAATATCAGCATGGTAACATGAGCTNAGGCTTCTTCACATTTAACAACCTATTAATGATGCATACCCACTTAACGGGAATAACTCAGCTAACAGACGATATGAACCATTTCACCTACACGGAACAGAAGTCCAACACCAAGAGCCTAAATCAACACTTAGCATAACGGGCTAACAGGGCTAACGGCTACTTTAGCACATAGCTGGCATTAAGCGTTCTTTTCTACGTAATGTTATCTGCACAAACAACATACCACGTGAAAGCTGAGATTCCACAGATTCCATTGGTATAAGTCTCATCACTGTACGACCAAAACTCACTGAACTAGCAGCCAGGACAGATCGAGAAAACAACTTCACTTTATTTATTTATTCTATTCATTCATCCAAAAAAGAAAAAAGTATAATATATAATTCATCAACACAAAGATAAACAAAACGAGCAGAAGCATAGCTTATGGGAAGCAGCCCTCCCGTGGATCATCCTAATATAACGTTGGCATTATTGCGTCAAAAACGTATAGAAATGAAGGAGTACAAAGAAATAAAGACAACTGGGGGAAACATAAATAAAAGTTAGGGCAAGAAAAATAAATGCATATATATATATATATATATATATTTATAAAACGGACAAGTCAAATCAAGCTATCTGATTGGTTCTTAGCCGTGATATACTGAGTTGATTTGACTTGTCCGTTTTATAAATATATATATATATATATATATATGCATTTATTTTTCTTGNAACAATTTGGTTTGGGTAAACAAATATACACTTGGTTCATAGTTAAGTAGGTGAAATGCAAGGGTGTAACTTGTATGACCATGTTAGACCACTGACATAATGTTAATATATAATAATAATTCAAGTACATCCTTTCAAACTGCTAGTCACATCCTCATGTAAATGGCAATTTATCGAGGTCAGAAAAGTTATTGAGTTCATTTTTAACTCAATGAACTGCTTATCGCGACAGGCCTATGCACACAATAAAACAGTGGAAACAAACATGTATTTGACTTTCATTAGTGAATGAAACTTTGTGCCCTTTATAGTCTGTGTCCAATATTGTATATTTGTATATATATATGCTAAGGTCCCGCTACTGACACGATAGCAGTCATTTAGTGCGCATATGTGTAATTAAACCCATGATATCAAAATCTCACTCCAGCCAGGTACCCAAAGTTGGCAACCCTGCAATAGTCTTGGTTTTACACCAAGTCTTATCTTTCCACAAACCTGTATTTTCGGAAGGCCATAATTGAGTCAGCACAAGTAACCGAGTAGGAAGTTATCACAGGCCCACAGCCACAATTGGTAGTGTTTGACAAGACCAGAAAAAAACAGATATATGAAGGGAAAGCATTGAGGTAAAAATGTCATCTAATTAGCAGGTTTTCAACCACATCATCATTCTGTAGCTTGAAAGTGTCCGTAACAGGTGGGTAAAACACTACTTCATTTATGCAACAGCTCCACACTGTGGACGTTTAAGGTACTACATGTAGACTAAGATAAGCACACATTGCAAACAGGCCTATGTATGGATCAGTGCCATTTTGTTTCCAGGCTTCCCATAACTGTTGTATGCCTCCTTAAATATATAAAAATAAATCATACAACATATGATTTTAAATGATATATATTTAATAACTTCACAAAACAGCACAAGTATGGAAGTTTCTATTGGGTCATTCAGACAGTGAGACACAAACAGTGAAAAGTTGACAGTTAAAATTAATAGCAGCTGAGGCAGAAAGGGAAGAATCAGAGGGAGTGAGGACAGCTAAAGACCATCCCAGAACATGTCAGTGCCAGCGCTCTGATAGTGTCCCAGGGTGTATCCAGAGTACTATGACGAGAAATAGAAATCCAAATGTGTCTCTACATATATAGCTCAACACTTTCCAGTGGTTTTGCCAGTAGCTTTTCAGCACCCAACCCCTCTCACAACAACACAGATGTCATAACTCAAACAAGACTTTCACACTAAAATAGGGGGAATAAGGTCTTTAACATATACACACAGCAAACTCCAGTTTAAATATGAATCTGTTCCTACTAATAAAAGCAGGAAAAGGCAGTTTTAAGCCTCTGTAACTGTAAGCTGCTACATTTAAGATGTTCACATCATTACAAAGAGAAAGAAAAATAACATTATACAAATATCAATCAACCATGAAATCAAAAGATCAGAGGAAAAAAAAGACATTTGTTACATTTCACATACTGCATTCACAAACTGATGTAAAGGCAGTGACAGATGGTAGTTTTTGGACAACATTGACCAAAAAGTTGCCAAAGTTAATCACCCCTTTTTATCACTAAAACAAGACTGTTATGCTTCATTATAACATGTTGAGGAGAGTTTAACTGCCAGTATACAGGATATTGCTGTCTGAAACTAGCGTTGGAAGTCCTTTGACAAGAGGCTTTTAGTCATGTTTGAAAGGTCTCTTGAAATGGCTATAATGTTGTCATAAGGGTTAAGCTTGCACAGTAAAAACTAATACAAATATTGTAACAGTGAAAGTATTTGGGGGGAAACGCACATAGAAAGGTATGCTTATTTCATTGAATTGTAATCAAATTTCACGGCATTCAGCCGCACTCCCTCCCATCACAAATACAGATCGTTTGACAGCATCCCATTCAAAAGGAATTCAATAAATGTACAACCTTCTGCATGTAGCAGTACAGCCCAGAATATTGCCAGATCGCTGTACTCTAAAGGACTCCATTCTGATGATTCTGAAGTTTTTAAATAAATGACTGAAGTGGATGTAGTGTTCATATTCCGGTAAACCAGCAGTTAATCGGCATAGGGAAAGTACACAGTTTATAACTAATAACTTCTGTTTTGCTAGCCGTCTATTTGAAAACAAAATGTTAAACAACAAAAAGGTGGGCATGGGTTTATCCCAGATGTTAGGTAATGAAGAGCTGTTACGGTTATTTTTTATCAAACTAACATCTAAGAACACTGCTGTGAACTATGTTATTGCTGCTACTGCTAGTTACCTCTATAGACCTGCAGGGAAAACTAATATTACAATCAATTGGATGAAGTAATTTTCAATGACCAAATAATGTTTTGTTATAAAAAATAAGTAAAATACATTTCGTATTTTATTTGGCACGCGATTGATGGGGCAAAATACACCCAATAACACAAATCACAACACAATAAAGTTTCTTCATTCTTGGGACCCTTAATGATGCATATTAGTTTTGAGAATTTTTTTGCCAACCTGATAATAGTTTCAGAGAAAAGTTTACAGAAACCAGTCACACCTCTGTGACAGTGCACTGTCCATCAGGACTACGTGATCGCAGACTGATTGCAGAGCTCGAAGGCCCCCCCCTCGGAGGCATCCTGGCTGGCTGGTTCTCTCTTAGCGGTCTTTGCCTATGTCTAGGTATAGATTCTGCTCTCTCGCACTCCCTTTCTTCCTCACTGTCACTATTGCCGGATGCATACTCATACACCTGTAGCTCAGCATCTTCTTCCACGTCTTCACCCTCTGGCTGGCTGATAAGGAGCTGGGATAAAGACTCTTCCACGCTTGGTAAGGAGGCAAGAAGGGGACTGGTAAGATGGTGCCCCAGGAGTGTTGGAGGTCTAACAGGAGGAATAGATGCCATAATCCCAAAGGAAGAAGACTGTGATGGGCCATCAGTGTCCGATCCATCAGCTGAGCTGATACGTTCTGTTGCAGCTGGGGGGACAACTGGTACAGTAGCAATGGGGGCAGGTTCGGGGTCTAACCGTAGTCCTGCAACTCCCTTCTTGGGGATATCTACAATGTCCCGCTTTATCTTGCGTCTGCGGCCATGCTCATTCCGGCGATATTGCACCATGTTCTCCAGGTCTGCCACGTAAAGAAACCCCGCAATTAGCATCTCTGTGCTCTTCTTCGCCTTAGCGAAAGCCTCCTCCAACTCACGAGTGGTCCTCTCATCATACTGCCACCAGCCGTTGCGTCCCTCATAGTACCACGCATAGTCTCCACGGGAGCCGCCCCCAGCCCCCCCAGCTTGGCTCACCCCTGAAGCTGCTGCTTTCAGTTCTTCAGGTGAGAGGAGAACTGGACGCTCCAGAAAGTCTTCTGGGACTTCCTGTCGGCAGAGAGCACAGCGTTTACTCTGCCAGGAGGCACCTTTGACACACAGGTAGCAGAAGACATGGAAGCATGGGAGGCGCACAGGGTGGACGCAGCTCTGCAGGCAGATGGAACACTCCGGGTTGACGATGGAGGAGCTGGAAGGGTCTGCAGCACAACTATCTCCCACTTCCTCCATCAGCTTGGAAGGAGCCAAAGCATCAATTGAACAGTCCACTCCTCCACAGCCTGCCATACTACAGAGAGAAACACACCAGTGTCACAACAGATCTGCATGGAAAGACTTGCACTATTATACATAACTGTAATGTGTATACTTGAATTTAAATTAAAACAACATGCCATTTGGTGCTGGTCCCACTGGACATATTCTGTTCTGTTTATAGTTTTGTGAACGCCCTAATACAAACACATAAATGTATGGTTTCTATTGTGAAACAAAGTGTTCAAATCATAATAGTTTAACAAATGTGAATATTACATGCTGGGAAAGCGGGCAACCATGATTGTAGCCCGATTGTATTACAAACTTATTCAAAGGCCTATTTTCTGCAGTCTGACAGAGCTAGCCACCTGACTGCTGCTATGCTAGCTAACTCGGTCATTTGCTACTTGTTACATTTGAATGTGTTTTATACCAAGCAGTGACGCCAAAGGCTCGTATCTGTAATATGCACTAACACTTTGAAGAAGAAACTCTAAAGTCAATGTCAGAAATAACATTCACCTAGCTAGCGTTAACTTGACAGCTGCTTTAGCATACGCAGTTAGCATGCTAGCTGTCAGTGTGCTTCCAGGCTATTTAACTTCTCTATTTACAGATACACTCACCTGAACACTGGGATACTTCTTGAAACGTCCTCAGCAGATGCTCAGGTGGGAAAAATTCATAAAGCTGCCTTCATATTTGACTATAAAGTTATGAACGCCAAGTATTGACTTATTGTCGGTAGGTGAAGTATTCCAGCCAAGCCCATCTGATTTCAGTGCTGCTGGATCGGCCTCACTGCGTCCAACATTGCAACTCCATATGATCTGTAGATCTACTACAGCTGCGCACAGTAGGCCTACGTACCGTGCGTCAGTGTTTACGCATTTATGAATCATGATACAGTATATGATCTTTTAACAGATTCATGACATGGTGCTCATTAAAGGATTTATAAAAGTTTGGTTTATAGTAATTCATTATTTCATTTAAAAAAAAAAAAAAGTCTAGTAAAGCAGTATGAGTAATAATAATTTTACAATCTTCTATGGTTACCGACAAGTTGCATCGAAAGCACTACTATATATGAAATGTTTCTGATTCAGCTTACTCCAACAGTGTTAAATGTAACTCTGGAACACAAACATTTTACAAGATATCAACACAATCATCCATCCATTTTTTTCCCATTTCTGTTGGTTTGCATAGAAAAATCTGTTTTATTTTAGATGAATACATCTCTGCATTTAGAAAAGTTGAATACCTCTGCCATATCAACAAATAGTCTGTAAGGGGGCTCTTTTACAACCTTATACAACCCACTTGGACTCTTTGGTCTCTTTCTGTTGACACACTTCCTGATCTGTGACACGGGGGGGCAGGGGTCACCGGAGACACTCGGAGACTTCAGAACTTGTCGGTCACGCGTCTCCTGTCCCCTCCTGTAGGGCCGCGCGCTGCTTCTCCGAATACATGGACCCCAATTTGTCCATCCTCCAACCTCGCAGTGGACTATAAAGACAGAGGACGATCGTGAGAAAGATAAGCAACTAAAGTCTTATTTAAGTGTTGATTATATTTCACCTAATTAATAAAAATCTGTAAAGTTTCTAAAAAGTATTACATAAATGTATTGGAGTAAAAGTACATGATTTCCCTTTGAATGGTATCGGAGTAGAAGCAATAGCATAAAATTGAAATAAGTAAACTACAAGTTTCTTAAAATTGTACTTAAGTACAGTACTTGAGTACATTTACTTAGTTACTTTACACCACTGCTTACAGTTAACGAGACATGAAAAAGACAGTGTATTTGACATCTCAGCTTTGTGAAAACAGTTTTTTATTTTCTCTCACCTTGGGGGGTGCATTGCATAAGCTGCACATCCGGCTCAAATCCTTTGGGGCAGGTGAGATGACATTGGCCGTGGAGAAAGTATAGGTCTGCTCTACACCTCACACACATGTTCCTCCTTACACACACCTCACAGCCTGTACAGCACTCTGACACTGAGGGACACAAACACATCAAATTGTACTGTAGACCCCCCAGTATCATGGAAGACTTGTATGAGAACACACAGTGCCTTACCTGTGCATTCACAGAGCACCGTGTTCGCAGTGAACCCGATTGGACAGCTGTCTCCACATTTCCCCCCGAACAGGAAGTGACCCGGGTGACAATGAGTGCAGAAATGTTCACTGAAACAGGAAGCGCACTCGTCCTTGCACCCTGCAGATCAAGGGAAATTAACTGGTCAGCAAAGACTGTATAAATAAAAGGGTAGTGACCACACTGTCGTTAGTTTGATATTCTTAACACTGACTTTAATCAGTTTGCACAAAAAAAAGTGGTACAGCTGCTGTAACAATATAATACAGAAATAAGCATTTATTTTTTTATTTCATTTAGCTAAAAATGAAGAGTAACATATTCAGTTGATAAGCGGTGTCTTGAGTACAATAACTTTAAATGACTCCTCCCACACCTATTATAAATGGGAAATATATACATTTTGCTGTATGTTTATATTTGACCTGTTGTACCTTTTTGCTCCTGCTGTGTTTTTTCTTTTTTTTCGTAATCCATTTTCTGGTTTCTAACACACCTTTACGCCCTTATAATGTCATTCATGCGAGGTGTATTTAATATTTTGAATCGTGAAATTAACAAACAATTAAACTTTTACTTTAACGTTTTTCCGTCACTCGTAGATGTGTATGGACTTACTTGTGCAGGTGCTGATGTGTGGAAAGCGCCTGCCATAGTGACCTTGGGGACAGGAGGACAGGCAGGAGCCCCTCTGCCGCATCCCATCCAGCTCCAAGTGGAAGAAGAGGCGAGGTTTGCAGGACAGACAGCCGTTCAGGGCAGAGCATGACACGCAACCTGCAGGACAGACCCTGCTCACAGAGGAGCTTCCTGCAGATTAATAGATATGAAATTAGTGCGTCCGTCTAAAAAAAACACAGCCGGAATTTAAGATTTTTCCTAAGCCTGTAAAAAGACAATAGATAAAAAATACTCAGGAACGCTGTGCTTTATGAGAGCACAGAGCGATGCTTTCAAATTCATAGTGTGCAAGGTAAAACCAATAGAAAGCATTGAGTACATTATTCCCTGAAAGCACTCTTATTATGTTCATATAGGGTCGGTCTACTGTTGACTATGTTACACTAGATAAATGGGGAAAGATAAGGCACATTTTACAGAAGCTTTGCAGAACATAAGCATTAGAGAGGTGAGGCTGACAAGTTAATCATACTTACGTCTTGTGTTATCTTGGCCTTCTGTAAGAATCATGAGGTGCAGCATCCAGATCAACAAAGGTATCCACATCTTTCCCATTCAGTACGGCATCAATCCAGTCACCTTGCATCACACCCAAATCCCATGATGTACAGTTCATGGAAAAAGGTTGGATTTCTCCATAAAATTCATTCAAATGGACCCGCGTTGAACTCCGGTCTGCGTAAGAGAGCGGTCGAGTGCAAAATGTTCTTGCAGAGAAATCCCATGTGCATTCCATGAGATCACTGAAACCGGCAGAATGCCACGAAGAATGCAAACAGAAGACAAACCATTGTATGATAGTCGCAACCCAGATGTAATGCAAGTTTGGGTAAGCTGCTGTGGGCTCGTCTATGTTATCCCCCCCGAAAACGAACACACACACACACACACACACACACACACACACACACACACACACACACACACACACACACACACACACACACCCCCTCTTCTGTGTTACCCGTCCTCCATGACACTCCCCCTGAGCCTTAAAAATATCAAAATATGCATCTTTTCAGAATTGGAATAATAATACCACCATGGTATTACATTATATTATTACTTCAACTTTTTCTGTCACAAAGTCTACATTAATTATCCAACTGAAGCTTAACATTCTGGGTATTGTAAGGTCCCCCCTCTTCCCAAACGTGTTTTGTTTTCCACTTGGATATTTGACCTTCACACCAAAACTCTGTTCTCACATTCTGCAGCTGAAGGAGGGAAGTTTTTCCATGCTCACGTTGAATCAGAGTTTAAAATGTATACGTACGTCTTTGTGGCCGCACAATTGGAAGCCAATGGTGGTAATGCAAGTGTGAAAAGAACGAAATAATGACTTTTAAGTGAAAAGGACAATGTGTGTCCAGGATTCCAACTTTTCCAAAAACGAAACCGTTTTTGTATGTTTAGTGAGGGTTTGAAATGCATGTTTGATGGGTAAAAATAGCCTATTTCTAGTGAGATCATTGAAATATTTCGGACAAAATGTTAACGACTGTACCAACATATGATCATTTGAGCAGATGAAAGGCATGATTGCTATTCATCTTGCCTCACAGCACGTTGAAATTAGAGCTGAATGCAACACATTAGGTACAACTCTTTCACTCTCATCTTTAAACTGTTTTCGGTTTAACCATAATGTCAAACGGGGCGAATGTGTGACCATAGTCATAACACCAAAATATCTCCTCATTCAAACATGATGTTTTTTGAAGCATGTCATCAGAAGATCAACTACAGCTCATCAAAGTCTTCACATGGGCTGGATGAAGTCACAATGACGAAGACAAAACAATACCCAGCACAAAATAACAGACATAACCAAGTCCCCGTGCTTTTTAGATTTATTTAAACTTAAGGCATGATTGGGCACTTCATGTTCTCCATGAAGACTGGCTTCAGAAATCCCAGACCATAATAAATACATACCGAGTGATTTGACTGTGTCAGAGAGAATCTGCGGTTCCCACAAAAACTCTGGAAGGTGATAAAAGCTGTAGGCTGCAGACGATTTGTTGTTTGGCATCCCACTGAGTACTATCGCCTGTTTTAGGAACTCTGTGGTTCTCAAAACAGATTTGAACTCTCCAGTGCTCGCCTTCCTGGAATCAAGCTTCCCTCTGCAATTCATGATTCTTGGCTTTGGTCTATAATCCTTTCAGAACCTGTCAACTCTGATAGAATCAAATTGTGGGGGTTTGTTGCTTTTGCTTGATTCTAAACGTTGTTGTATTGTTGTTAAAATAACTGCATTCCTCTTCAAGGCAAAGACATGGACAGAAAAAGTTACACAATTGAAACCATGTGATTCTTATTAAGAAAGGCACTGCAAGTGATGTTAATATGATGTCTGCCAAAATGGACGGCCTTGCTTTCTTCGGCCTGTCTGGAAAAATGTGGAAGCTTATCAGTGAGATTTTACACTGAAGCTGATTTATCATCCTTGAGACGCAGCTCAAAGCTACACAGGGCCAGACAGAGCTACGCTGGCTGCCTTAATTGTCACCAGGTGCTCAGACACAGACAGGCAAGGCGGATTTTTTTTGTTTTGAGAGAGGAAGAAGAGGGCGTTTCTCAAATCCCACAGGAACAAGCACAAACCCACGATAGAATAACACCTACGAGGATCCTCTGGACGTGCAGCCAGCTGCTGCGGAGAAACACCATCCATCAATCTGCGTGCAGTAGATACTCAAAGACTAGCCTACCTGCCAGCTGGAAACTCAACAGGGATTAGAAAACATATGCAAATGCTAAAGGGCTCTGTCATGAGAATGTAAAAGTAAAGGAGAGAACAGCAAGGCAGGTACAAGGGGTCCAAATGTCAGAAGGGTGGAGCTCCACAAACCCAGTAACAACTCCACAACCTGACTGGGAACATAAACATGACAAGGCTACGCTCACTGGGGTGCCAGATCAGATTCTTGAAGAATATAACCGCCGGAGGCCAAGGAATGTCTTAACTGCCGCAAAGAGAAACGGGGAATGAAAGAAAATGATAAAAGAGGAGAGCCACGAAGAGTTAGAGAGCCATGTAATCATGTTTGCATGGTCTAAAGTACAATGAATGAACCAATGTTGTAATTCAAATGTTTGTATCAAATCACTTGATCTACTGTTAAATAAAGACTCTACAAGATCTTAAAACCGTCCACTATACAAACCAGAAACAGCTTTTAGGGCATCGTCTGCCATGAGCTTTTACTAAAGCACAACATGCATATACCATCTTTTTCAAATAAAAAAATCTAACAGATAATGTAGGATCAGGACATTTTACAAGACATCTCCACTGCTAACAGACGCCTAAGAAGGCAGAAAGCTCCTCGCAGTGATGAAGGTGTGAGCAGGATAGCATCGCAGCACGTAGATAGTCTATGTAGCGTGAAAAGGAGAGGAATTTGGGAGGAGGCCGAGACACACCCAGTGAAGACGCTGTGAAGCATGCAGCTTTAAAACGCTGACCATGACGGGTGATAGGAGAGCGAGGGGGGGGGGGGGAGGCGAAGAGATCTGGAAGTACTAACTTACTCCGAGCTGTCCAGAACCTCCAGATCGAAGCTCAACACAGTCAGCACTTTGTTTGGCTACCGCTTATACAGTACGTCTCCAATGCTTTCTAAATCAAATCATCAAATCAAGTTTTATTTATAAAGCACATTTAAAACCAATTTTTGGTCGAGACAAAGTGCTGTACAGTACATGTAATAAAAACACATTACTACAATCACAATAAAAGACAATAAATTACAACAGATATAAAAAAACAAAGGGAAAAATCAGGAGTCGTGCTCCGTCTGACTAGAAGGCCAGGGAGAAGAAGTGTGTCTTAAGAGTAGATTTAAAAACCCCTAGGGCAGAGTGTTCCAGAGCCTGGGGCCAGCTGCTGCGAAGGCTCGGTGCCCTTGGGTTTTGAGCCTGGTCTTGGGCACTATCAGCAGCAGCTGGTCAGCAGACCTTAAAGCTCTGGCTGGGGTGTAGCGCTGGAGGAGTTTGGCTATATAGGCAGGAGCCAGCCCATTTAGTGCTTTAAAAACAAATAAAAGGATTTTAAAATCAATTCGGAGCCAAATTGGAAGCCAGTGCAAAGAGGCCAGAATTGGGGTGATGTGGTCACGTTTTTTGTGGCCAGTCAGAAGACGTGCTGCTGCGTTTTGGATTAGCTGCAGGCGTTTAATTGAGGCCTGGTCCATACCCACGTATAGAGCGTTGCAGTAATCCAGTCTTGAGGTTACGAAGGCATTAATAACCCTTTCTAAGTCTTTAAAAGATAAATACGACTTGGTTTTGGCCAATAGTCTCATTTAAAAAAAGCAGGATTTGACTACGGTGCTGACCTGCTTGTCGAATTTAAAAGTGCTAGTGAAGGTCACTCCAAGGTTCATGACAGAGGGGAGGATGTTTTTATTGAGAGAGCCCAGAATATCAACCGGAGAGGCTGGAGGTTGGGGTTCAAAGAAGATAACCTCAGTCTTGCTCACGTTGAGGTTGAGAACGTTTTTGCTCAGCCATTTGACACTTGACATTTGCTTTGAGAGGCAGATAGATCTGTACATTGTCGGCGTAGCAGTGGAAGGGAATATTTTGTTGAGTGAGAATTGAAGCTCGGGGCAGTATGTACAGTAAAAAGAGGATGGGGCCCAGAATCGAGTCTAATGCGAAGGTGAATGTTATTGCAGCAGCATTCATGGCATGATTACATGTGATATTATTATGATGTGATGTGTGTGGATTGAAGTGTCTACAATGGGAGGGATTTACAAGAATTTAATTAAGAACAGAAAAATTGTGTGAAAGGAAAACATTTACACAATAACACATTTTCAGAAGAAAAAATATGATGCATAATGAAAAAGGAAAAATATTGCCGCCGTCCTAGAAAATGTGAACTTCCCCGTCTTCATCCCTTCGCTTTTTTCAGCATTTTCTATAAAAAAAAGTAAAAAAAAAAAACATTTGTACATTTATCCCACATTCAAAATGGAGAAATTAGAATGTGTACATAGAAATGTAAAATCATTATTAGTAAGTTGCTTGAGTAAGTAAGTTAGACTACATATGATTAACTGTCAACTCCAATTATAGATAGAAGAACCAAGACAACCAATTTTAGCTGGAATACTAGGATTTTAATGCAGGAGTGCTAATGTCCTGTAATGTGTGGTTACATGTTATTAAATGCACTCAATGTAAAACCTTGGTGAAAATATATCATATTCCAATCACTTGTATAGACTCTTATTGCACTATTTTTCTTTTTGTATTTACTTGCAATATTTTTTCTGTTTTTCTGTTTTATCGTGTTGCACTATTGGTGGAGCGTGGAACCTAAGATGTTCATCGTCATAACTACACTGTAGCTATGTAGTATGACTAATAAAAGCCTTGAACCTTGAACTGGCACCTCTACGTTTAACGTTACCAGGTAACACTACGTACTGACTGTCTGAGCTGACCTTTCAGGGTCCCAAGCCACCTCAAACTTAATACAGCCTAGATATAATTGATAAATTATAAGATGTGGGCCACCTCCAAAAAATTAGACATTTCACAGTAGTCTTAAATGCAGTCAATGACAATAAAACATCTGTATTTAAAAACGTGTGAGTGCCTTTGGAGTATTCACTGCATTTCAGAGAACAACAAAAGGACCATAAGAAAATCTGTTGGACTCAAACAACCACTATCAAATAGTTTTTTCTTATTGTACATTGACTATCTAATAATAACATGTGAGATTATTTAATTAAAAATAACAATAATTGCAGTTTGAATCAGGAGATTGCAATAACGTTTGAAATCTTTGTCTAGTAATATACGGTTTGGCAAGGCCCTTGAAATTTGAGGCACGTTTAGCCGTAAAATATAAATAAAGTGGGAAACAACAGTAGCTTGTACAACTTGTGATTTGAGCTTCCTTTTTAACTAACCTTGGACACTGCTTTGAGGTGATGATCTCTGATCGTTGCAGATTTCTCCTCAAACGCTTTAGCCTTCGCCTCTTCCGCCAGGTTGCTCAAAAACATCAACGTCAGGAGTTCAATCTGAGTAAAAGTAAAACCATAATTATTAATTGATTAGCTGTTAACCACAAACAGAGCACTCAGAAACATTAGCAACATTAGCGCGTTAGCTCACCATTGCTTCTGACGCCGTGCCCACGATTATGTTAGTCTTCGCTTTTGCTTTGATTATAGATTTCAATTTGGGCGTCTTCTTCTGCATGTTGGCTAATGTTCAGGCTGAAAAAAATTCACGCCGATAAAAAAGTTTGTTTACTTTTTTCAATCTCCCGCTTCTCTTACTTCCGGTAAACTGATTCTTCTTCGTGACATTTGCATCGTTACTTGTTGCCGTTACTGCCCACTACAGTTTCAAATGTCGGGTTTATATTTCTGTTTTTACAGCAAGGAAAAAAATATATATAGTACAATATTTATTCAAGTTGCAAACTATTAAATATCTGGAATAAATAGATGCCATAAACAGGCACAGATGTAAGTACTGTGTGTGGTGGCTCTTTTTTAATTTCAACTAAGGTTTGTTGTGTTGTAACGCTGCTACCTAATGGATGAAAGGAGCAACTACATCAGCAGAACACCATCCTTTGTATCCGGGTCAGCGGGCAGTAATGGCGACCACCATGGAGACAACAACCGGCATGAGCAATATGCTGCAATTCATGAAATTGATCGGACAGCTAAAAGTAAGGCCTTTCCCCAAAGTACTTGTATGGTGATTTGGCCCCTTATCAAAAATGAACAACACATTATTTTAAGCCTGGCTTCCAAAAATATTGTATTGGTGCTACTGGAGCTAATACAGTGAGGCAGTGCTTTTTTAGTCCTTTCCAAAGTGCAACTTATCCTTATTCATCTACCCACACAAACAAACATGTTGTGACATGAGAAGAAAATTAAACCATTGCCTTGTTATTGACCTGAAGGAATAACATTCATAATTGTAGGTTAACTTATGTGTCCTGTATGTGTCAATGTATGGTCAAATAAATACAATCGTTATCAAAACATCAGTACAAAACCATAACCGATTAGGTTTACAATCATACAAAAACATATTCACTGTCCCTTGGCTACAGCAAGTGTTTTTTTTGTGGTTAAATGTATGTTTTATTCGAATATGTGCAGTCATACAAAACATGTTTGTATGTATTTTGGAATGTTTTATTTTTTTTCAGTGAAGACAATATCTGCAAACGAAAGCTGTCTTACTTAGTTGATGAAAAAAATATCACTAGGCATATATTTTAGTTGTTGTTCTCCCTTGTCTTTGCAACTCATTATTAACTCTGTGTTGTTGTTCCCTGCAGAGGGTCCCACGGACCGGCTGGGTGTACAGGGAGGTGCAGAAACCTGAGAGTGTGTCAGACCACATGTACCGCATGGCCATGATGTCTATGACTGTCACAGACCCCACAGTGGATAAAAACAGGTGATTCATTCACACTGCTCACACCCAGACCTGGAAGCAACTTTAAAAAGATAAAAAAAGGTTGACATGAATTATATTAGGTAGAATATAGCAGCTCATCAACTGTAAATAACCTACATATTGTTGTCTTTTTCCCTTACTGTCTTTAGATGTATAAAGCTGGCTCTGGTTCATGACATGGCAGAGTGCATTGTGGGAGATATCGCTCCATCAGACAACATCAGTAAAGCTGAGAAACACAGACGAGAAGAGGCAAGTGACCAGTATCCCATATCTTAACACCTCTGTTTTACTAAACAAATAGTCTGTTCAGGCTTCCATGGCATTTTTAAGTAAACATTTATGGCTTATATTAAATGAGTAATTTCTGTGTTTGGCTCTCTAATTTCTCCATCTCACTTGTCTCTCAGGAGGCGATGAAACATATTTCAGCTCTTCTGCCGGGGGGACTCAAACAGGAGATGTATGGACTCTGGGAGGTAAGCTTCTGCTTTGGTTGAATATCAAGTAACGTCATACCTAATAGCAGGAAGCCATGTCCCTTTTATAATGATAATTATACCAGTGGGATATTGCACTTGTGTTTTTCTGCAGGAATATGAAAACCAGAGCAGTGCGGAGGCCAGGTTGGTGAAAGAGTTTGACCTCCTGGAGATGATCCTGCAGGCTCACGAGTACGAGGAGCTGGAGGGAACACCAGGAAGACTGCAGGAGTTCTTCGACTCCACCGAAGGTTAGTTTGGAAATCTGTGTCTCTATTCTTCCCTGGATCACATCAATTCACTTGCTCACATTTTTGCACCTGAGAAGGCTTATTTTTTCTTTCATATTTAGCTTATAAATATGCAACCAAGCAATTTTCTTATTATATTTGAAACAGTTTTCTCAACAGTCAACAATCCAAAGTTGTGATTACACTTTAAAACGGAAAGCTGTTTGACCATAAATGACCTTTTTCAGACAATTTCATGTTATTTTACTCATTCAAACTAAATGTGAAATGTTTACCATACTTTTTTTGAATTTTCTGGGGGTAACCAGAATGAATAGACAATTCAGATAAGATATTACAGATTTTGAAGCTGCCTTTACTTGCATTATTTATATTTACATTTGTTATTCTCTCAGGTCGTTTCCAACACCCAGACGTGCTCCAGCTCCTCAGCTCTTTGAATAAAGAGAGAGATAGTCACATGAGTAAAAAGGATGAAGCAAAGGACTCTGGGAACTCACAGACGACTGGTGGTGCATCTTCACACTCATCCTGACTGTCACACATATAAACCTTTCCTTAGTGAAGGTACTGTAACACAAAATATGTGTATAAAGACGCACAAACACGACACGTACCTGCACGTTTCTGCAGTACCACTGAGGATGAGGATATTTGAATATATACTTTGTGCGTACGGCTATTTTTGCAAACTGTCCTGGAAAAGCATCACCATATATAATTAATACCAAATGAAAAATACAAATGCAATGCTGCCAGATAATATTAAAAAGCAAAAACGTATCAATATGTAATGAAATGTCCAAACAAATGGGTTGGAAAATTATTAAAGAGCTTTAGAAACTCCCAGATAGTATTCATCACTACGTTTTATCATCTCAGGCTTTATTCTATTTTTCCAATCCATTGACAAATACATTTTATTACATTTTGACATACCATACATTTATCCGGCATACAGTATATAACATCATTGGTTATCGTTTAAAATATCTAACAATGATGCTTAACCATCAGAAGAAAACATTTTCTGATGCAGTCTAACTTTTCAGTTATTTACCGTTTCTTGTGGAGGAGAAAAAAAATGGTCGGACGTGGAAGTCATTTCAAGTCAATTTGTATATTTAATAGAACTTTAGCTGCACATAACTACTTTCTTTATCTTGGTTTTCTCGGTAAAAACAGTCAGTGGTATTTAGTTTGGGTAAACAATCTTTAATATCATTCCATCAGCCATAAAACCAGTTGTTTATAATAGTTTGTGATTATTTGTATGCAGATGTCAAACACAATGTTTTCTGAATGTCACAGATCAGTAGTTTATTTCCCAATAACAGAACATGCATTACCTCAGTATTTCAATATATGAACGTTAACATGAATATTATTGAACACATTTCATGAAACGATCCCGGAGATCTTCTCAAACCACGGCAAAAAAGAACGAAATTAAACATAAGTGAAACATGAAACGGAGTATATATTGAAACTTGATGGCAAAGTTATGCAGGTACTTGAAAAGTAAAAAATAAAACAATGTTTTTACACACAAATGAATAAACATGTTTAACGTTTTGTGGCACCAACCTTTTCCTAACATACTCAGTAAAACTTTGTTATCTCGCAGCATTTAACAGTTTATCCTGCACCAGGAAGTTAAAAGAAATCGGTATATTAATGTTATTTTGTCATCAGTAACATAGGCAAAAGGCCACAGAAACCATTTCAGGGTCAAATGTCAATTTTCAACTGCTAGAGTGAAGAAGATAATTCTTAGCATAAGTGATTTATATAATTTTGCGCAACCTCCATATTCTAGCAAGCCTCTCTGTCAGTGTTTTGCATTCAGCTATGCGTAGAACAGTAGGCTGTTATTTTTCAAAAAGCATTATAACTGGCTGCATTTGCAAAGTTATCCCATCAAATATATTTTGAGTTGCCATAACAACATTTCAGATCTTTAGTCGTATTGAAAAGTCATTTGTGCAAGTTTACAAATAATTAGTTTTACCCAGGACTTCAGGATTCCATCAATGTATGTTATACTGTATGTACATTTTAAAACATTTAGTAAAAAGTACAAGGTACTTGAAAATGTAACATAAAGACTATTATCAACTACTTATTTCTATTAATACCCTAAAAATGTAGTTTTTGGTATGACAGGTGTAGTGAAGTAAAGTTGATATACTGTACTGGCTGTTTTCACAAGCTTAGCTGCGTCTCGCCTCATTGGATCAACGTCTGTGGTATGGAGCTGGCAATACACTCCTATTGGTTGAGTGCACCACACTATAGAAAGAGTAATTCAACAAAGACATTCGTCTCTTGGTCAAATGTATTTTAGATTATTACAAAGGATGTTTCCTTTAAACCGAGTTGAGTTATGTGTGGAATTATCTGAGGGTCTCACTGGGTTTATTGTTAGCCCCCCATTACAGTAAGTTTGCTGTTGTGACCTTTTAAAAAATAAAGGCAGACAACTGCCTATTTGGAATATTTAGGGTCAATTTGGTCCAAACAAGACATTTCTCAAACTTCCTTTCAAGCATTCAGGGTTAGGAGGCTTCATCTCAAACATGGTTGTAAGCATCCTAGCACGAGGGATCTAATACAGGTGTTCTGTAACATTTCAGTCAAGAGTATTTAGAAGATAAGTTCTGCACTACAGCAGTTCCTGGTCTTTGAGTCCAGCCTTACGGTGCCGCTCTATCACGGCCTCTCGGAGCTGTCCGTCAAGTTGTTAGTGGGCGTGTCCTGAGAGCTGGCGTTCGCTGCGGAGGAGAGGACTTCCTCAAAGCTGCCCCCTGTCTCTGCACCGCCCACCTTTGTCTGTGGAAAAAGCAGGAAAAGATGGATACACAATATTAAAGCTGAAATGTTAAAGACTTCTACTATCACCCTCTGCCAGTGAGTACATTAAAGGGATAAGAGGTCTTTTTCTTTAAAGATAATCTACGCTGAAATGTCCCTTTTGTTTTTGAACTGTCTAAATATGTTTAAATTGTGTTTGATTTGCTAAAGAGGACGACATTATCCTTGAAACAATATTATAACTGAAAGTCCACATTTTTTATATTTATTTATTATTTAGCATTATTCATTATTAAATTAGTTATCAACAATAACACATAGTATTGCCATGCTCATCTTCCATATAGGCAAAGAAAACATTTAAAGACATGAACAAACCCATACATACATGAAACATAAAGTAAACAATAACATATATAATAAAAAAATAAAATGAATCATACTATATTTAATAATCAAAAATATGTAGTTTGTATAATCATAATAATTATAGTCAATAGAAAGAGAAAAATACTATAAAAGAAATCTCATATCTGATCGTGGTCCTTTCTGTGGCTATTGTAGAGTCTAAAGGAGAGAGGGTGCTGCTGCTAAGACTGTCTCAGGATCAGTGTGATCAGAAATAACCAGCAGGCTTACTGTGAGAGTCAGGAGTGTAATCTGGCCTCCACACAGATTACAGTGTGTACCTCTCTCTGCTTCACTAACACTTTACAACACTAAGAGGCGACAACATGACCTGTTTCCCTGCGTGGCGTTCACAGTGCACTACTACAGATCAGCAGGTAGTTTAAATGCTGTTAGCTAGTGTGACTGTGACCAGGAACAGCCAATGCTCAGCTCGATTAGATGCAGTTACAATATAATAAATAGGCTTGTTTCTTATATCTTAGAAATGTGGAATCAATACACATATTGTTTTTTATTGCTTAATGCACATTCTTGCTCACACACAAACACCATTTGTATTCACCTTTAGAGTAGAAACTGTAGTCTCGACTTTCTCCTCAAAAGACTTGAAGCTGGGAGAGTTTCTGTGAAGAAAATTAAATCATTATTGTATTTATTTTAAACTGCACAAAACGATTAGCTACAGTACACATTTCGCTTAAATGTAAAGATTATGACAACGATGGCTTATAGGCTGCTCTCACACATACACTTGGGATACATTGAATATGTAATGTAACAGCATACATGTGCTAATTTGCAGGAAAAAGTTCATAGGTGTAAAAAATATATAATGCAAAAAACATCTCTGATATTCAATTTCCCCCCCGAGTTTCTTCTGATTAATATCATTAAATACATGTCAAAGGAAGGACACATTAAACAGTTTACTGGGAGTGCACTAAGCAGTGCTGTAGAGGAACATAACGATTAGTGGAAAAACAAACACAGATTGATTCTCGATCAAACACACAAAGCCAGCAGTGGTTACCTCATGGTGGGCATGCTCATTGAGTGTCTGAAAGAGTAGCTGTCCCCAGAGAGCGTGGTGAGAGAGGAGTTAATAATTAGCACAGGATACACACACACACACACAAAACCAGAGATAGATAGAGATATCTCTGTCGTTAAGCACTTTCTTCTGACATTGTGCTCATTAGTCAGTCCCAGAGCCTCTAGGAGGATGAAATGGAGAGGAGAGGAGATCTGAACACGAGTGTCACTGGAGAGAGTTACAGTAGGTAATAGGGAATGGAGAAATATGATTTAAGCACAGATCATGATGAAATTTTTTTCACAAGTAGTGGGGAATTTTCAATATCGACATAATAGTTAATATCCTCACATGAGAAAGCTATTATTGTAAAAGAAGAAAATTAATCTGATAATTCCTGATTTAAAAAATACAGGAATGATCATGTAAGTAAGAACAGATTTACACACTGTTGCTTTTTATTTTTGAATTTTATTTTATTCATACATGGGTACGATTATGATTGTATGTAGGTTTGATTTATTATTACCTTATTTAGGATTGTTGGATTTCAATTTCACAAATATCTTTGTCCGTGAGCCTACACAAATATCTTTTCCTTTACAAAAAAAAACTTGATTTCAAGAGTTTCAAGCATATCCTGATGATTTTCGGGATAAAACTTAAATAAGTTTGGCTAGAATAATCATCACATTCAATGTTATTGTTTTTCTTTGCCTGTAAAACATAATTGAGAAAGTTGAAACCAGCTAGGCAAATGTCATGTATTGTTTTTATTATTATGAAATGGTCCTGTGTCTAGTAGGTAACAGCTGGAATCTCGGAGCACACACAAATATATGACATCTATGGTGGAAAGGGCTGCAGCTCATTCATCATTTGAAATAGCTCAAAAAAGGGAAAAGCCTGCAGGGTCAGTCTCATGTTTTGACCTAGTTTTGGCACGGTCCTGTAACTTGGGAAAGTGTGTGAGAGCTAGTTCACATTGAGGGCTGTTTGTTTGGGCTTATCAGAGAAACTCAAATCAATTAGCGATGATTCTGCCAGGCAGCAGCCTTTACTGCAGCAGACTCAGCTGACACCTGTTAGCGCCGTCAGCTGATCGCAATGAGATCTATTGAGTTAAGACTCCTGAGTGAGGAGCAACTAATGTGATATAATCAGCTGTGTGATGCTTACCCTATAGAGTTGGACCTTGGGAAGCATGGAGGGAGAAGGAAAACATGTTTAACGATACTTGACAAGGCCTTCAGTCACACTCTTTCACTTTAGTAGAACATTTATACTAAAAGAGGGAAGTAAACAACATCATGGGGAACTTGATTGGACTTCACTATACTTTGTCTGATGTGCTTACGAGATTAAAATGTTCTACTAAAGGTAATCATCGTAAACACACACTAAGAAACTATCAGATTGATTTTTTACTCAATCCAAAAACATCAATGAGATCACACACACACACACACACAAAGAAGAAGAAATAAGAATAAGACTCAGAATTAGTTGTTAAAGGCAAAAAGTGAAAGAAACGCTATCTAAAGAGTGGGAAATCTGACTTTTGACTGCACAAAAATTACAAATATTTAGAAAGATACAGTATATTCGCAGATGCTGATATGCTGTATCCATTGTGAAGTTTGAAAATCAGTTGGAAGACAGTTGAATATTTGACGAGACAAAAGCACATGCAAGAGGACACTTCCCACAGCAAATACTAACATGCAGAAACTATGCACACCATGATCTATTAACCTCAGGGACGTACCTCCGAGGAAACAGTAACTCTAGACCAACCATGCTGCAATAACCAAAGATAATGCATTGGTTCCTTTCTGCACTTTATGCTCCAACAACACGCGGTGTTCACAGATCTTACCCATCTGTCTCTGCAGCGTGAACACTGTCAACATGTCACAGTCAACACAGACAATATGATATATTTAAAAGCTTGCTTCGGTTGTAATGAATGAGCAGATGTTGTGAAAGTAATCAAACACTTTTACTCTCTTCAGTTTCTCCAGACTCGCAAAATAAAATGAAAAGATAAATCAAAACGTTTGCTCCTACGATGACTAATGTTTTTTTGTTGACTTAGTTCAAGAGGGCCTTTACTCACACTTTAGTACAGCACATTTACCTCATAGGGCAAAGATGGGAAAAGTGCAGTAGAATCTACATTTCTGAAGGAATCTAAAGTGCTTTAAAGCCTGACAGTAGAAGTCGTGCTTTTACGCTGTAATAACGATGAAAATGTGTGGATGTAATGGCTTTACACTTGTGCCCTTAAACGTCTGAGTGTCTGCATTTGATTGCAAAGTGTTGTATTAATGACTTCAACTTGAAAAATACAACGGGATAAATAAATAAAACTCACTTCCTTAAAACATTTATGCCTTATGCCTGGAAAGCCAAAGGATGAAACACAATGAAAAGCTACAAATGTCCCGAGTGATGCACGAGGAACCGACATACTGAATGTTTTTTGCTCTGACAGGAAGTCACACAGAAGCACAAGCTTTCTCTCTTCATCATACACACATGCTCCATTTATTTCACACGGAACAATGCAGGCTGGCTCACACACTCGTGTTGACTCTCAGTGTCTCTGACAAAAGAGACAGAAGAAGAGAGGGAAAGGGAGGAGGAGGAGGAGGAGGAGGAGGAGGAGCAGGAGGAGGAGGACAGACTGCCTCCGGCCCTTCAGCTATACAGAAAGCAGCTTACTGTGGGTTTACATAATCTCAATTCTCCCTGAGCTGGTTCGAGCAAAGAGTCAAACATCTCAGAGGGAAAGGGATGGATGGCACAAATACAAAGTGTCTGTGATTTGATAAAAGTAGAAATGAGTCATTGTTGAACTGAGTCTGGGTTATGATACGTTTGGATACAAAGAAGTTTGTGATGAGTAAAATGTGTTTTTCGCTGCAAAAGACACGTTTTCTGACTGAGTGAGACGCTGAGTACAGCTAAGTGCAACTGTCAAAGAATTTACTAAATTCAGAGAAAAACGGAATCATCAATCAGAATACTTCATTTATCCCAGAAGAGAGTGGGTTTTGTGAAAGTTGCTCCTTTTTGGAATTACATTTAAAATATCTAATATTTATCTACATAAATGTACAATACAAATGAAACAATAAAAAAATGGTAAAGTAACATTTAAAGAAACTTGTGTCATCAGTACTTGAGGGACGATTTTCTGTAAGTAATAAAGTTATGACATCACTATGTACCTCATGTCCCCGAACTTCCTGGTGATGGCGCTGCCCAGCGTGGTGAAGGCGACGGAGGTTTTCTGTCCGGCTGTGGAGATCGTCTCTGAGGTCTTCTTATAGCTAAGAAAAAGACATGCATACAGAATATGTCATAACTCTTCCTTACACACTTGCATGCACTGACAGGCAGATTTGGACTATTTACACAGGCAGTAAACCCACATCAATTGTTTCAAAATCTTCTTAATTATCACCAAATGTATTTCATTGAGTGGTTTCCTTTCTAACACGATGGCTTTCATCCCTTTTTCAAACTAACAACGCATTTAAATCCATATTTCCAATCAGGTCTTATCTGTCTATATAACATTGAGCTGCCCTTTTCTTTTTTAAAGTTCTGGTGGTGTGTTGACCTTTTAATTTACATTTCATCATGGACCCAGTTTCTTTAGCATCTTACACTCCCGCGGCCGCACTGGTCCATAATGGATGAGGACGGTGACTGTGTGTAAAGTGATCTTCAGGTTGAAATGTAACTGGATAAGAGGAGAGGCCTCTGGAGAATATCCCCTTGCTCTGTTCTGTCTCTTGGTGCACGAGCTCATAGCGAATGGTCTGGTGAGGAAATACCTTTATTTCTCTGCACACCATTTTTTTTTAACTATTAACTGATTTGGTGGGTGTTTGACAGTAACAATAGTCAGGACATGTTCAGCTAATTGTTAGCCTTTAGCAGTGTGTGGCCATTTGACGAGTCAGGTTTACTATGTCTGTTACAAAAACACTATGGCTAGGAGCAGAGGTTTAGGTCTTTTTAATTGGGTTTGTGATATCTGCTTTATAACAGACTTTAAAGTAAGCTTTTATAGGCTGTTAAAAAACAGAACTCCCTGCTCTTTGTGTGTGTGTGTGTGTGTGTGTGTGTGTGTGTGTGTGTGTTTGTGTGTGTCTTTGAAATATCATCAATGTTGACAGCAAACAGAGAAGCCATTATTTGATGTGAAGCAGACACAAACAAACATTCTCCCCTTCACTTCAAATCCTGCAAACTCTTCCTCTTTCTGAAGTGGCACACACACATTGACTTACGCTGTGGAGGTCTGCATGTCGTGCCATCCTTTGCTTAAGTTGTTCCTGAGTTCGCTCAGAGAACCTACGCCAAGTTTCTGTCTGAGCTCTGCGTGCTGCTTCTCTTTGGAAGACAAGACCTGCCGCAACGTACTGATCTCCTCCTCCAGCTGGAAACACAAACAGACAACGAGTCACTTAGCAGATAATCATCTCTTTTCCGTCTTTGTACTCTCAACAGTCCTTCAGTGTGTGCTTGAGAATGGCCCAGTGTGAGCATACTTTAGCTAGCTGTTGCTGGATCTCCTCTCTCTCCTCCTCGGTCAAGAGGCAGTTGTTTAGGTTGATCTCTGACGCCATGTCTTCGTCAGCTTCTCTCAGAGGCTCCGAGTCCAGAAAACCTGAAAACAATACACAAGCGGTGAGGTGTACATTAAAAACCTCTGTAAAATAGTGATGGAGACACAAACTGGAAAGGTAGAAGGCAGAGAAATATCTGGGATTGAAAGTTGTTATTTTATTCAAAACTGTCACCAGTTCAACTTCTGAACAGATTGCACTCAACCCGCTAAACAAAGACAACACATAGTCTAACATTCTCGTCTTTTTGAAATATTCTGTATCATTTATATCTGCTCGTGGAATCCGATTTAGAAATTTGGCAAGAATATTAGCAACTTCTTGTTTGGAGGCACTTGTAAGTAACTGTGATATTTAATGTAATATAATTATTATTGATGTCAATGAAGAGTTTGACTGTCTTGAACATGATCTGCTTAGATTATTCTAAAATGTATCTGCCATTTTGCTAAATGTCCGACAGCCTCTACGTCCGATTCTAAATGTCCGTCTGTCTTCATGTCTGAATGCGTGTGTCTGACCGTTATGCAATCTGTGGCGGCAGGCTGCAGCACTCTAATCTGGATTAACTCGTGTGGATTATTATGCTGTGGGACACTACAGACTGCGACACACACAAACAAGATGCGGCTGATGCAGTGGGGACAGATTGACTTAAAAAGTTGCAATCTTGGATTTGAGTTGAAACTACATTTTAGTTAAAGTATGTTTTGCCTTGGCACTCCCAATCAAATGACTATTAAACCATGGGATGAATACCCTTCTGCTCAAACAGTATTTACACAATATTTCCGAGAGCAATTGTGGGCTCGAGAAGTTCTGCAAGTAAATAACCCTTATACTTTATGGGTAAACCTTGTTAGCCTTATAACACTATTCTGCCCTGCTAAAAAGTACCTCTGGCCCTTTGACAATTCTTTCCTGGCCTTTCCTTTTCCTTAGTTGTATGTTCGTAACTGTTTTTTTTAGACTGCATGTCAAATAAAACAATACATATATTTAGAAGACATTTCGTTTTTTAATTACACTCTTTGGATGGTCCTTAACTAAACCACAACATTCACTTACAAAAAAAAAAATATATAAAATGCTCTATGTTTGCAACTTTCATGCAGAGGAAGGAAGCTGATTCACACTTTCAGTTGACTCTCATCAACATCAGCTGACTCTTACATGTGACGCAGCAAAAAACTTAAACCATCATTAAGTTACAGTTCATTTCTTTCTTCATGATAATATTCTATATTAGTGAATCAAGGCGGTGTGTGAGGAATTTTCATATTAACACTGTTTGTGTGTGATCAAGCTTTTAATTTGACAGGATATTTGTGGAAGGCAAACCCGGACAAACGGGTCCCACACAGCACCAGGCAACAGCAGGACACACTGTACACACAACCCAGGAGATGCAAACAGAAGTGCGTAATTATGATGTCACAGGTGTTTGTAGTGGAACTGTCTGCAGAAGGATTACTGTACCTTCTGTGAGGTGTCCTCTCTCTTGAAGAGGCAGCATTAAAGGCAGGTGAGGAAAGTGTAAGGTTAGTGTAGAAAAACGACCTTTCTCCACTCACTACTAAAATGGACTCACCACAAGCAGTAAACACACAAAGAAACACACAAAGAAACACAAGTGTAGATTTCAGCACTACACACCGGTACAAGGCCTTGCTATAGTAGGGGGTTATTTTTGTATCACAGCGTCAGGACAAAATTCATTTTAAACCCCCTGTGGCTAGATGGAAATGGAAACTGTTAAAGTGCAGGGAGAACTCGGATCACACTGTCTGTTTTTAATGGTACCACATATGAGAAGACCTTTAAACGCTTTCTACCAGTCTGAGGTCAGTATTATAGGAGGAAGGCAACTGACAACTAAACATTAACAGTTTTATTAATTCACTAAAATATAAACACTAAAAAGCTAAGACATGTTTTCTTTAAGGGAGGATCGTTTCTTTTAAGCTAACTCAGGTTTCCTTAGACTAACACTTTTCTTTTGGCTAACACTTGTTTCTTTTAAGCTAACACAGGTTTTCTTTTAGCTAGCACAGGTTGTCTTGAAGCTAACGTCGTTTTCCATGGCTAGCGCAGGGTTTCTTTTTACTAAATGTATAGTAGTTCCAAAAATACTGTAGAAAATTCCACATGACATTAAGGCATTTGGCTTTACAATCAAATACAGAGTGTGTCTGTTTGTTACAAGAGTGTCTATCAAGGGTCTGAAAGATGTATAGAAAATCTGTATTACAGTTTGTCAATATGGAAACAAAAAGGGACAGTGCTTCTACTTCTAATATTATCAACATCAATGGATGGCGCAGGGATATTTTTATCTAGAAAACATGTAGTAGTACAAACAGGTTAAGAAGATCTTATGGTCAAATGTAAATAAAACCACAAAAAAATTAAATGTTGGTTTTCAGAGATCATCCCTGTCATTTGTAGGATACCGTGATACATTGCCAAATGTCAGGAATGTGGAGAATGCTGAAAGAAGTTAATGATCCCAGTCATGGTTCACTGCATAACATCGGTTAGATACAAAGTAAGCTCTGATCCTCAGCGCTCTACTAAATGGGGGGGTAGGATCAATGAGAATGATATGGTCAGGTTTCACAGGGAACATTTGAAAGCACTGTGAACAGGCAACCGTAGCACACACTGCTAAATTAGTATCTTGTGTTTATTTATTATTCTTCTCCAAACTTACCCATATAATCGCCTGTGTACATTTTTCGTAGTAGACATGCATAATATGCCAGGACCTTAGGAACTGAGACAGCCTTATCAGAAAATGTTAACCAGACTCCAAAAATAAAGTCTTACATTTAAAGGGTTTTCCATGTTGTATTGGTGTAGTTTAATTATGATGTGTTCTGTGCTTTTTGTTTATGTAGGCCCAACATAACAGTTTAAAGCTCGATCCACACTAAATCCTTTTTAAAATTCTTGGTTGACCTAAAAGTAGTAAAAATGTAAGATGAGTCCATCTGAATTTGCCAATAAAACCCCCACAATGTGTAGAACTGAAGCATTAAATCCCTGTAGTCTGCTCAAGCCCCCAAATGCCCAGATCAAAGCTAGAACACCTGGCCTCAGTGTCTCCAGTGGCAGCTATAGCTCTACCTACAGGTTCCCACAGGTGTCAGGGATGTGGAGAAGTAAATGTTCAACTAGGGAAGCAAAACATTTTCTAACTCTACGGGCTCTAATCTACATCCCTCTTCACCTGTGCTGTCCAGTTGCATACCCCAAGAGGAGGACATGACCCAGGTGTCAGAGTGGGACGCTGATGTCTGACCCCACTGATCCTCCCCTGACGGTGAGGTATTACCCTCTTCTGTCGGGTTTTCACCATTTTGGGCAAATGGAGCCATGTCGTCATCATACGACTTTCTTTTAACCGATTCCTCGCCAGAGGGGTTAAACGTGCCCTGATTCAAACCTGAGCAAAGTCACAGTTAGACACAGTATCTTAGATTCAACCTAAAGTGCTTTATTCATCTTATTTTGCAACTGAAAAGTGCTCTTTTAGCAATGTTTTAGCTTAACTGGCAAAAAAAAACAGGAAGTGTCATTGAAAGGGAAGTCTCAGCTTCTGGTTAAAGTAACACATTAATCATTTGTTACTGGAAATAATTACCTTTAGTGCCCACAGATACAAACAGATGTTTGTACATTCAGATACCCCTCTATTCTGTTTTTAATCTGTCTCCTTGGGCTCGAGAAAATAATTGGGCTTTCTTTACAACATTATTAACATCCAGGGTATTTAATAATAGCCCTGCTTCACAGTAGTTCCAATTGAAAGCATTTAGTCACTCAAGAAGGGTCAATCCATCTTCATTTATTAACAACCTCCGGCTAGCATTACTTTCCCTCTGATTTATGAAAATATGTTTTAATATTGTAATACTTAAGGACCACTCTCACTCACTCTCCAGACTAGTATCAGTCAAATCCACACTAAATCACATGAGGAAGAAACTTGCTGCCACACTGACCTCAGTATTAAAAAGAGGTTAACACTTTGGTTTTGTAACACAGTGATGTCACAGGTAACACACACATGGTTTGGCATCACTTCCTGTGTTGTGCTCTGTGTGCAGCAGCAATAGAGTGGTGCAGGAATGAGTCCTAACCCAAGAAAATTAGATAGCATTTTAATACTTCCAGCTTCCCTCGTCTCAAAGTCAATGTTTTTTTAATGAGTTATGGTTAGATGAAACAAGGTCTGTGGTTAAAACAAGTGTTTTGTTCTACAACATAACATATGTCACTAAACACTCCACTTGTGAATGTCTAAAGCTTCTATGCGTTATTAAAACCACGACAAGTTATTAAATAAACCACTAAACGTCATCACGCTGACACAAAGCCGTGTTAGGGGTGACCGTGATGTGAAGTCATGTGACCGTGATGTAGTTCCTTTGTAGCCTAACGTTAGCTTTTCACTTCTAGATATTGCATTTACTCTTATAAAATAGCCATCATTATCTTAATCAAGTTTGCACAGATCCTTTTTTCTGCTAAATTTCAAACTCCAATGGAAAAATCCCATTGGCTTGAGACGAGGGAAACATTGCGATGCTATGACTTTCGGGCCGACTCACACCCACCCTGTTGATTCACTGTGGATTTACGTTCAGTTTTTTATTTTGGAGAGTTGAGTCTTACCCTGCTCTTCCTCCTGTGTGGCCGAGTTAACCCATTCCTCTCCAGGACCCATGCTGCCCCAGTCCACCACTGCTCCATTCAGAACATCAGAGTACAACTCTGCCGCGGAGCAAGGCAGCAGGGCGAGAGGAGACAAGACAACGGGTTAAACACACACGCGCACAGACACACACACATCAACCGTCTTAAGGGGTTTGGTGCTTCTCCAGTGTCCATCCCAGCCCTGTCAGTAACTTGATAACAGAGAGGTCTGTTTCGTTACTGGCAGCTTATCTGACTCAGGAACAGGAATTCTGATGTTTGACCCTTAGTGGCACGGATCTTGAAGCTGTTAGAACAAGATTGAACAGATTCCTGCTATTTAAAAAAAACAGGCCAGGGAGAAATCTGTACCACAGAGATGACAATGAGATCATTTGTAACAATTAAGCAGGAATATCTGCTTGTTCTCTGGTTGATGATGAAATCCCATTACACCATACTCCAGCACTACAGGAGGAAGAAGACCAGCGTTACTGCATTTGCACTAACAATGATTTCCTTCTTTTTAACTTCCGCATTTAGGCTGCTAAAACACGCTTTCAGGGAAGAAAAGGTCACAGATTTCAGAGTAACAAATGAACATGAATGGTGGAAGGAATATGATCTTTTAAACTAATTTCAGTAGGCCACATGCAGTCTAACACTACATGATAATTAAGCATTATTTTAGCAGGTCAAAGCAGGTGATGAACCATTTGTTAGCTGATATAGCACAGTCTGGCTTAACTGATTAAAAACATTGGATATACATTGATACACTCCCCTTCTTTACTCTCTTCCCTTTGCTTTTGTCTGGGGCTGAATACCCCTGGTCACAAGATTCTCATTTGGCCCCATGGTCATGTGGCTATGCTAAATCAGAGGCCTGGGGATGGTCATATGGCTGTGAAATCAATTGACGTTAAACTGGAGGCCAAGTTGCATTATGGCCAAACAGCAACACTACTGCACATACATATAAACCTATGTTTCCGTCCATATTTAAGACCTCTACTTTAATGTACTGGATTAAAAACATATGGGGGTGCTTTTAGAGTCCATCATTCCTTTATAGATGGAAGTTATGTTATTAAAGTTTCCTGGGAAATGTAAAAGTGTTTTGCCTTGATCCAGCCTCCAACTCCGGACACAATGCCCCCAGGTAGCCACAAAACAAGTATACCTGCTATGCAAAGGAGTGCAATAAACTACCTGCAAAAGCAAACACTACCTTTATCCCACTTCACGGATGTGGGAGTCATTGCCCTACTTGAATACTCCTATTCCTAAGTAAAACAGCAACATGCCTGAAAAACAGTGAAGCTACCACTTGTGTCAAACGTTTGCATATGAGGTTGAGTTTGGATGTAAATAAGGAGTATGGAAATCATTCCTGTGCAGATATCAGAAGAATTTGCAACACCTGAGACGTTCAGCAGTAACTACAATAGCACAAGTACCACACTCTATATGTATGCCACTATGATAAACTCCAATATCATAAAAGGGTTACGTTTCCTTCAAAGATGATATTACTATAAACACCCTTCACATAGTTGTGCATGGTTCACAGCGGGCAAAGATGCAGGTGTGTAGTCCAGGACACTTAATTGATTTAGGGATACATAATAAAAATTGGTAAATTGGATTTACTACAAATACCAGAAATTCCTGAAAACGTGTGCATTAGAGAACCAGTAAGCATCTGAGAAAGGAAACAGTATCCTGCTGCAAGACTTACTTTGGTCTAGAGTTTCCATGAAGTCTTGAATAAACAGTACCACAAACCTACAGCACACTGGCCAACTTTACTTTTGATATTTGCTTCCTTATCCAGCCCTACAGAAAGAGCTGACCCTGAAAGCAGCATATGAATGGCACGTTTGTTAATCAACATTGAAACTGAACTAGACATGCTACATGCCAGTTTATACGTCATTAAATGGTTATTTAAAAGAGCATGTACATGAATAATCGCTCCAAAAGTGTCGCGATTTTTTTTTTAGACTTGTCCCTTATTTATTTGCTCATAATTCCGCTCCTTTAAACCTTCAAAGAGTGGCGTGTGCAGCGAGCTCAGCCTCGCTATCACACCAACAGCAAACAACCAAGAGACGCAGCGACTGTTTTTAAAGTTTCGCCTTGGAATAAAGAGCTGAGTGCAACATGGAGCGACAAACACTCACCTTGTTGTCTGGTCTCCATCAGACAGCCAGGTGCACTCCGCAGAATATCCTCCCGAGACAAGAAGACAGAGCAACAACAGCAGCACGCGCAGCAGCGGCCGTCAGGTCAGTGTGTTTACTGGGGCTTCCTTGGCTGTCACGCGCTGGGCGGCAGATCAAAGAGCTCGAGCCAATGGTCTCGCGCTTCTGTAATTCACTTACCAGCCATGTTTCCTGTTGGGGAAATGAGCCCATTGGACACCAAAACATAATGTATAATCAATTTAGAAAAATTAATGGATAAATAATGATGGGTTTGTCAGGGATGGAGGAAATGTTCACATCATATAATTAAAATAAAAAAGACTACAGTATATAAATAAATAAAATACACTAAAGCAAATATGATGCATATACAAGATAAAGTTAATACTCTTCAAAAGTAAGTAATTTAAATGTACTGTGTAATGTAAGTACAAAGTAGAAAAAAAATATAGAAATAAGTAAGCATCTCAAATTTGTACAAGTACTTGTAGTACAAGAACAGTACTTGATGAATACTGTATATTTTCCACCACCAGTATTTGTATAGAATGTTTTATTTTATACCTCTTACAACATGTTTTCTTTGATTTGCTGTAGCCTATGCAGCTCTGACAATTAATTATTGTTTTTAAATAATAATAATTAATACTAATAATAATTAAAGCTGCAAGCAGCGTTGAGCGGGTCTTCGACGTTCCGCAGGCTGTTGTCCGCACGTCGACGTGTGTGTCTAGGGGTCTCGAGGACTCGGCCGTTGGCAAACGTGGGAATTTTCAGGCCGATCGGACAATGTATTTAGGAGTTACAGCAGTATCATAAACATTGTGTTTGATGTCGAGTGATCTGTCGCCATGGCAACGGAATTTGATGACACCCCATAATACACCTAGATGTGTTGAGGGCTGCATCGTTATGAAACCTGTGAAGTTTTGGGCCGTTTGGAGCATGTTAACTGGAGTTATGAGAAAACCGTGTTTCACGGCGACCATTTTGTTACCATAGCAACGAAATTTGACAAAATCTCAAAACTTACACATATATGTCTCCAGGGCTTGACGTTTAGCACACAGGACTTATAGCAATATGGTGCTTAACGGCGAGGGGTGTGTTGCTATGGCAACAGCTTTTGGGGAAAACTCACTATTGTCGTATTGAGGTGTTGAGGGCCGGACAATTAGCTATCATCTGAAGTCTGGTGCCGTTTGGACGTTTTTCCATTGAGTTAGGACAACACCGTGTTTAGTGGCGAGGGATCTGTTGCTATGGAAACGGCATATGATGACATCCCATAATTGGCATAGGGCTGTTGAGGGCCGGACCATTAGCCATCATCTGAAGTCTGGTGCCGTTTGGACGATTTTTTATTGAATTGCGACAACACCAGGTTTATTGGCGAGGGACGCGTTGCCATGGAAACGGCATATGAGGACATCCCATAATTGACATAGAGCTGTTGAGGGCCAGAGCATTAATGATAGTCTGAAGTCTGGTGCCGTTTGGACGATTTTCCATTGAGTTACAACAACATCAGGTTTTTTGGCGAGGGACGCGTTGCCATGGAAACGGCATATGATGACATCCCATAATTGACATAGAGCTGTTGAGGGCCGGACCATTAATGATAGTCTGAAGTCTGGTGCTGTTTGGACGATTTTCCATTGAATTACAACAACATCGTTTTTTTTGGCGAGGGACGCGTTGCCATGGAAAGGGCATATTATGACATCCCATAATTGACATAGAGCTGTTGAGGGCCGGACCATTAATGATAGTCTGAAATCTGTTGCTGTTTGGACGATTTTCCATTGAATTACGACAACACCAGGTTTTTGGCGAGGGATAGGTTGCCATGGCAACGGCATATGATGACATCCCATAATTGACATAGAGCTGTTGAGGGCCGGACCATTAATGATAGTCTGAAGTCTGGTGCCGTTTGGACGATTTTCCATTGAATTAAAACAACACCATGTTTAATGGCGAGGGAGCTGTCACCATGGCAACGGCATATGATGACATCCCCTAATTGACATAGAGCTGTTCAGGGCGGACTATTAACTGTCATCTGAAGTCTGGTGCTGTTTGGACAATTTTCCATTGAATTATAACAACATCGTATTTTTTAGCGAAGGATGCGTTTCCATGGAAACGGCATACGGTGAGATCTCAGATTTCACTTAGAGCTGTTGAAGCATGGGCCGGTGATATAAAAGTGAAGATTGGGGGACGATGGGACCGTGTCCATTGGAGTTACAGCGGCACCGTGCTTAATGGCGAAGGATCCGTTGCCATGGTAAAGCCAAATTAAGTAACATCAGATTTGACCTAGAGCTGTTCAGGGCAGTGTTAACTATCACGTGAAGTTTGGGGGCGTTCTGAGCTTGTCTAGCATCGAGCGAACGCGAACTTTGGCGCCAAATAACGGCTACGCTGTGCGAAGGAAAAAAACTTCCATGATAACTTTGAATTGCCCATGTCTCGAGACGCTACCCAACGACTTTCGAGTCATACGGATAAAGTCCCTAGGAGAAGATAGATTTCGTACGGAGGATGAAAAATGCGATAAATCGCGTTTTTCCAACGCCAAATTCAAAATGGCTGACTTCCTGTACGTTATTTTATACCCCTCCAAGAGGCTTTTTGATTCGTCTCCGCACCCTAGATATGCGTAGCGAGTTTCGTTCGTTTACGTGAAAGTTAAAGTAGGGGGAGTTAACGTTAAAAACGGAAGTGGGCGTGGCCTATGCAATTTTTGACGCAAAGTTCCGGAACCAATTATACATCGCAATTTTCACAATTTCTGCATGGTTATCGCTCGCTTTGCGAGCGACTAAATTGATCGTAACGATATCAATTATAAGTTGCGGAGCCCACGTGACTGGACTCACGCGGCCTCCGCCCACGTGACTGGACTCACGCACTGGGCTCACGCGGCCTCCGCCTACGTGACTGGGCTCACGCGGCCTATCAGCCGTCATGATTTCCGAACCTTTTCTGTGCTTTTGCCGGTCGTTTTCCCTGTTTTTGGGTGTTTTTCGCAGGTTTATCGGTCGCTGCGCGACTGATTTCAATAGGGTCTTCGCCGACCTAGGTCTCAGACCCTAATAATATCACAGAAATTGACTATCAAAGGATACTAAATTAATTTGCATTAAAATTTTCGTTATTTATGATTGCCAATTTATCAATAAATATGTGTTATACTAGTAATACGTTCAAGTACGTTTATTTATAATGTTATATTATTTCGTACTATGACAATGCATGTTTCTTTGTATCTGCATTGCATATTAAAAAAATAGAAATCAAGACAATATGGTTGTGCAACCTGCAGTGCACTTATGACCCCTGCTGACAGGAAACTGTAGTCACAACAGGAGGGGATGATGTCACTGATTCCCAAACAGAGAGTCAATAAAGGAGACTGGCTGTGACTCACAATATGTTATATGTGAAAAACAAATGTGTCAATATCGAACAAAACAGTCAAACCAGACCATTTTGGCATTTGACCCAGTTTAATTTATTCTTCATCAGATCCTTTGAAGAAAACCATTTTTGTGTAAGTGTGTAATAATATCAGCAGAAGTCTTTAACGGTGGAAGAAAGTGCAAACAAATAGCACAGTTATCAAGTTTAAGATGTTTCTTTAAATAGAAATACACTCAAAACAAAGCAGTGTAGACATACAACGTGGGCATGTATTTTTTGTGAAAATGCATCCTAATGTTACTGATGACACACCATTTAAAAGCAAAACAAATATTCACAGGCCTCCTGAGTTAAAATCAAACTATGTTATACTGTCACTAAAATGACAGCGTTTTCATATAACCACTTCCTTTACTGAGCATTTTGCTGCCTCGTGACAGCCATCAAAGGTCTTTTTAACCTTCAGAGGACGAACGGGGAGGTTCATATGAGCCCAAATAAAGTGACAGTTGACCTTGTGCAAAACTATAATAGTGTTTGGGATACAGCTGACAACCTGTATTATGGTTACCTGTAACATTTAAAAGGTTTGGTTTTATCTTAAGCTATTTAAAATACATTCATATATCTGATTGCACTGCACATTTTCCTGTACCTTGGGGTAAGAGATCCTTACATATATAATTTACAGTGGTTTCTCATACATTAGAGTTGAATAATTTAAAACATTTGCTTTTCTTTAGCTGTTCTTACACATATCTTAATGAGGGTTTGATAGATTGTACCCCTATTCGTAATCTTTGGAGTCACCGAACCACAGGTTGGCCCACCCTGATCTATAATGGCTGTGAAGGCACTATTGCATACTTATGCCAATATCACTGGGATTGTAACACAAACAAAACAGGCCGGGGGGAATCAGCCAGCCGATAAACCCCAGCAAAGGAAAAGAAAATCATTGGCTTCAATAATGCTCATGTCAACAAATGATTTGTTATTGAGCAACTTTTAAAAGGTTCAGCATTACCCAAACAGTTGCTCAATATTTAAAACATGTCAAGTCAGTATTATGCAAGCATACAAAACAATGATGGCATCTTTACACGAGCAGACTCAACACACGTTTCTACTGATCAAAGTGAAATCAATCTGGTATAAGGGGTTGACCAAGGGAGCAACATTTGTCCTGAAGCTGTCACCAGGTGAGACTAGGGATGTCATGATACCAGAAATGTAATCGCCAACCAGTGAAACCCCACGTTAGCGATTAGATACCACAATAAATAAAAAAATTAAATAAAACAGTATATCCTATGTACGTCAACATTTGTTAAATGGACTTCAACCTACGACTACGTTACCACGTTTGTGTAATTTGTTCATGTTAAGAGGCTAAACAGGTCATAACTACCCCTAAATCTAATAACAAATATAACATCTATTTGATATTGCTGGGGAAAATATCTTTATTAAAGTTTCCCTGAAAAATTGAGGTTTTACTAGACTACATTTGAACACATTGTGATAACGTTAACTTATAATTGACTGAATGCAGCACAGTGCAATGTTCCCTGCATACTAAACAAAGGTTCTATCATTCATAGGATGAAAGGTTGACGTTGGGTTGAGCCCTAACTACTGACAAAAACAAGTAAAAGTAACATTTATCTGAAT